AGCGCGCGCCGAAGCCGAAGCCGCCGCAGAAGCCGCCGGACCCTATGGCTCCCCTTGCCCTCTCAGCATTCCACCCTCAGCTACCTCACCCACCAGTGCCTCTTGGGGCTCTTCCATAAACTCTCGCCCTCCCACAAACCGCGACACCATCCTGCCTTACTGCACCTACTCCCGAAGCCCGCTTCCTACTGAGTCCACGCCCATTGGCCCAACTGACTCACCCCACGCCTCGCTCACTGCTACCACCACAGCCACACCTGTCTCCACTGCTCGTGAACTCTTCCTCGCACTTGGACTCTCAATCTCCGCACAGCCCATCCCACAGCCAACGCCCAAAAGCACTGCCGAACTCATAGCTTTTTACGCTCGCTCACCCGCCATTTGCGCTCAAGCAGACCTTTGGCATAAGCGCCTCGGTCATCCCTCCCAGAAAGTGTTCAACAACTACATTCGCGCGCAAGTCTTCCTTCCCGGGACACTACTTCGCCATGACGGAACACCTGTTCCTGTCAACACCACTCGTCGCACCGACTACACCATCTGCCCTGAAGCCGCCCTAACTCACCAGCCCTTCAAGCTCCTTGAGCCCGGCACAAACCGCTACGAGAAACTTCAGAAAGTCTACAGTGACTTCCTCGTTCCCACCAAGACTGGTCTCAACGGCGAAGAATACACCCTCACCTTCGTCGACGCCCACTCTCGCTTCGTTTGGGTGGCTAACGTCTCTCACAGGAGCAAGGCAATTGAAATATTCAAGGTCTGGCATGCCAACGCAGAGACTCAGTCCGGTTGCACCCTCAAGCTCTGGCAAACTGACTGCGTCGCGGAATTCAAGAGCGACAAGCTGGTGGCATAAATCCAGGAGAAGGAAATCGTCCACAAGCTATCCCTCCCTTACGTTCATCCCCAGCAAGGCGTCGCGGAACGTACCAACCACACGCTCATAACCAAGGTTCGCGCCCTCTTGCAGCAGATCGACGTTGACACAAAATATTGGCCTTACACCATGCCCCACGCCATTCGTCTCCACAACCTGCTCAGCACCACTGCCAATACAGACAACCTCTCTCCACACCTCAAATTCACCGGCAAACAGAGCGACGTCTCCATGCTCCGCGTCTGGGGGTGCATGGTCTAGTATCGGCCAGCAGCGGCGACAACGGGCAAGTTCGAACGTGGCAGGCGTGCATCTCGGCATCAGCCTCTTTCACAACGCTTGGAAGTGGTCGTGGCGCGCGGCATCATCTTCTACGAAGACCTTACCATCCGCAAGTTCCAGCGTGACCGCCACGCCAACCGCACCAGAGGGGAAACCAACGTCGCAGATTACTACCGCCCACTACGCAGCTTTGCCACACCTGAGGACGAAGCGGAAGCAGCACTCGCGAACCAGGACCCCACGGATCCCCACCCCGGTCCGCGCCCATGGAGTGATGATGACAAGGACGAGGACAGCGCTCCCCTAGACTCCTCGCGTGACTCTCAAAACAGCTGCTGACTGCACCATTGAACGCTTTAAAGCGCGCTGGGTCATCCGTGGCTTTGCCCCTGTTAGCCGTCACACCTCCGTTCGCATCCTCCTCGCCATCGCAGCCGCTAAACATCTTCCCCTCCATCAAATCGACGTAAAAAATGCCTTCGTCTACGCACCTGTGGATGCACTCATCTTCGTCGAGCAACCTTACACGTACGGCGACGGCGACGATCGCGTGTGTCTGCTCCGCAAATCACTCTACAGCATCAAGCATGCACCACGCCTTTGGCAGAAGCATCTTTATCAAATTCTCCTCGACATTGGCTTTACCCAGCTGTCCCATGATCGGGCATGTACCGCCTCCACTACCGCGGAGATTACATTCTTCTCACCGCATATGTGGACGACCTGCTCTACACAGGCACCAGCCCCAACCTCTTCGCCCAATTCGAGAACAATCCCAGCAACCGCGTCGAAATCACCAGCAACCACACGGTGACCCAATTCTGAGGTGTCAATATCTTATACGTTGCCGACGCCATCCATCTCTCCGCCGCCAAATACGCAGAAACTCTCAAATTCAACATCAAACCAGCCAACCTCTCCACCCCCTATCACACCCCAGCCACTCATTCCAATGTCATCACCACCCTACTCAATCCCGCTGAACATCAGCTGTACCGGCAGCAACTCATTTGTCTTCTCTTCGCCACTGTGACCTGCAACAGGCCTGACTTGTCCTACATCTCGAGCCAACTCGCTCAGTATGCCAAGCGACCGGAAGGGGAGCATGCTGGATTTACAGCGCGCCCTTCAATAGTTCATCTCCACACCGCACATTGGCATCACCTACTCCACTCTCATGACTCACTCATTCAGCCTCGTTGGATACGTAGACGCAGATCACGACGCTGATCCTGCAAATTGATGATCCTGAACCGGCTTCCTCTTCTGCCTTGAGCCCACCGGTCTCATTTCCTGGAATCCCATAAGCAAGAAATGGTGGCGCTCTCCTCTGCCAAAGCCGAATTCATCGCCGCCACGTCAGCCATTCGCGAAGGACTCTACCTCCTTGAGCTGCTGCAGGAGGTGAAAATTGCGACGTCCGCGAGCTTCAAACTTCACTGCGACGGCCAAAGCGCGATCAAAATCGAGAACAAGCCTGGCTTCGACAATTGCACCAAGCACATCGCACTCCGCTACTTCTTCGTAAAAGACGAAGTTGACAAAGGGAAAGTCATCTTGAGTTACTGCCCGACCGGTGACATGGCAGCCGACTTCCTCGCCAAAAGGCTGACACATCAACAGTACCACCACTGTGGAACCATCTGCGGTATAACCAAGCGCGTCAAGACTTCGCCACTCCAGGAATGAAGGGGAGTGTTACGATATGGAATAATTGAACAAACATTCCTAAGTAACGAATCCTTAACACGACGATCACTACATCGAGGGCGAAAGACCAAGCGACAAGACAGTTATCGAAGACAGTTACCGTATAGTTCCGGCTAGAAGACCCGCCGGTAAGAAGGTTCCCGGGGACTCTTGAACGGGTAGGGGGACTCTTATTGTGGCAGATATTGTGAGAACCCCCTCTTAGCCCCTAATTATGATAAGACCCCCCTTTTCTGTATACAATGGTTATTATTGCTATTGTGCATCAGTTTTTACTGGAACAAGTTCAAATTCTGACACGTTTTTTGTGTTTTACTCGAATTCTGACACTTTACTTGTGCCAGACTCGAATTCTGACACAAATCTGACACGTCGCTCGCACGAAATTCGCGCGCATTCGTTACGAAAATAAGACCCCCCCCCCCCCCCCCCCCCCTCCGCGCCCGAAGTTGAGCTGTACACCCTAAAAAGCAGATTGATAGATGATAAATAAGTGTACCCCGGGTCTTCTAGCCGGAACTATACGGTACAAGCAGGAAGAATTCGAAATGAAAAGCGCGGGGAAAGTTCAAACGGTGACCGGACATCGTACAGTTACCGAATCGCATGGTCGCAATCCTGCATCTAGATTAGCCCTAAGGGGAATGTACCCCCTCAGAGTACATGGCTAGCTAGGACCTTTCGTATTCCACTGTATTCCTACATAAACCCTTGGTGTTAGGGAACGTTACTAGCCGGTGACAAACTTCGAACCAGGCTGCTTGACACGAGGTGGAATAGGCAGGCATGGGGCAAAATCGTTTCTTCGTGTCAGACCCGCCTGGGAAGCCTGACACCAAGCAAACTTGGCCCGAAGTTTGAGACCGGCCAAGAACGTTCCTTTAGTCACTTCTGTCGAGATTCAAATCTCCCTCTTCTGACAGAGTCCGTACCCGACATTACCTAGCAATCTTCCGCTGCTACACTTCCGTGCGATCAACCTGAGACGATCATATAAGACGGTTCATATTATATCGATCATCTTCATCGTCGATTGTGCCTTGTCCTTGCTACACACATGAATGTTAACAGACTTTCCTTATTGCACCGTTTAATTTTCTTAAGAAACATTTGCGATGAAATTCTATAAAGTGGGGAATAACCTTTCTCTGGCTGTTAGGGGTTTACTCTAGAGCACGCTAATGCGTCATTGTAATGATTTAAACAAAGTTGGGAGTTCTTTACAACAATATTACTGTTGTTCTTTCTGGTCACTTGCTTCTTTGTGTGTTCATCATGTCAGTTCAGCCTGAGCAGTTTTGAACATGGCTCGTCTTGATTCGTCGTCACCTTTCTGTAACCTCTGCAAAACTTTTGACTGGCACGCTCTGACAAGTGCACCGTTTCAGAACACCCAACAGCCTACTCAGCGAAAAGTGAAACAGTCGTTTCTGCCCTAAATGCGAAATGCGTCCCACTCACGAAATCCAAGTCCTCGAACGCTTGCGAAATCTTGACCCCATCGGGCGGGAGGGAGCGAATTGCATTTGCATTCATCGTCAGTGGCGGCTACATGTCATTCCCACACCGCGCATGGCAGTGCAGTTCACCGACGGGGCGCCTTCTTCCATCCCCAACGCACTGTTCATCGCGACCCGCATCATCTCCTGATCTACCGCCATGCGTCGGCTTTACATTGGTGAACGGCCTCTGGCCCACTTCATTTTTGAGCGCGGCTTGGCTCGCGCGAAAATTAGCTGGATGTCTCCGCGCCTCCACCCATCCCATCCATCCTTTCGCAGTCATGTTAGCGGTGGGTCTCTCCCCTCACCACCATTCCCTTCCCTTCTCTCTATTCAACAGTCACTGAGATTCCTCGTCGCCAAATGTCATGTCAGAGTGCTGCTGAACTCGTCACCCATTCTGATGCTCCTTCATTGCAGCTATAACGCAATACCATCAACTTTCGAAAGTGCATGACCCTTTTCGTGCGACTTTTCATCTGACGACAGCAGCGACTATCAGGCATCGGCTTCCGCATAGGCTTGCCGTTGAGCTAGCGATATCTTCCTATGCTTCCCTCCAAGCGAACTTAATTCAAGTCTAGCAGCTTTGTGATTTGAACAACCACGGCGCCGCTTTTAGAGTCAGCATGGCTAGTCAAATCCAGGTGGCGAGCTTGCAGGGACAGGAAGACTGGGAAGAAGAGTATCGGCCGCTGCCGCTACTATTCGTATGCTCGCTAGCGATTTGGACGGTGCTTTTCGGAGTCTGGATTTGGAACACGTGGGTGAAGCGCCAATGGCAGGTACGCTGCGATTGCACGCGTGTACCCTACGCTCCTGAAGTAATGGCTAGACCGTCTCTGATTAGCTCGTTCTGATCCATCGCCGCTCGTCTTTTCGTGCAGACGAGCTACCTCCAGTGGGCCCTTGCTCTCGTACCAGCGCTCAAGTGCGTCGTCCTCGGCCTATCCTTCTTCTTCTGGTTAGTGCGGCTCGCTCTTTCGAACATCGCACCCGGTCGTTGTTCATCTACAGTGGTTTCTTTGTCTGACGAGCCGTTCGACTTCCGATCGACTTAACGCTCCTGATGAGGGACCCAGACTGAATCCTAACTTGAATCAGCATTCGACTAGAGTAGCATAATCATTTCGATTATCATCGCCTGGCCAGAAAATCAGGAGCCAGGAGTTAGACGCCTGATTTTTATTACTGAAAGAACGATGTACTAGCATAGACCGCATTGAACAGCATCCTGGGGTCTTAGCACTCTCAAGTAGGCCCCGCTAAATGCTCGTAACTCGTTTTCTTCACGCTAAATGTTCCATTCATTTATCGTCTACTCTCTTGTCCTTCGTCCTCCAGGCACTGGTGCTTGCACTTCGACTCGTGCTCCTTCTGGGTCGCTTTCGGGGTCTTCGTCTCGCGAATCTTCTTCGAAACCACGTGCTTCATCATGTTCCTGCTCATCGCGCACGGCCTGGGTATCACGCAGGATTCGCTATCTATGGCGCAGAGGCGCTCTATAGCGGGTCTCAGCGGCATGCTCTACATCTCTATTACCGCGTACAAGGCTGCGCTTCCGCACTTCCAGATCATTTTAACTGGCGTCTATACTCTCCTGCTTTACGCCATATTTTCGAACGTCGCGCGGAGAATGGGCGCACTGCAGGAGCAGCTGCGGCAGGCGGAAGCGGAGGGCGCAGCGGTGGAGGGGGGCGCGGGAAGCGCGCTGTACCCCGCGCTGCTGCACCGCCTGGCGCTGTTCCGCCGGTTCCAGGGCGCCATGCTGGCCATCGTGTTCATCGAGATAATCGTGAGTTTTTAATAACATGATGACAGATTGCAATCATGTCCAGTTGCTTAAATTGGATTTTTTCCGCATTTAAAACCCTAATCGCTTTAACTCTTTATAGACGTCCGCGTGGTTCCGGCGTTTCTTATCGCTTCCCGTTCCACGTCACCTGACTCCGCGTCGTTCGTTTTTTGCTCTCATCCGTCTCTCTCGGTGCCCCGCAGCTTCAAACCAAGTCGGACGTGCTGGGTCCGTACTGGGTGCGGCTGCAGCTGAGAGAGGTGGCGGAGGTCGCCGTATTCCTCTTTATAGGGTGAGGCCTCGCTCCTCTACTTGCTTCCCTGATTGGTTCTGCTTGATCGCTTGCCCCCGGCGTCTCTTCCTCTTCCTGTTGAGATACGCCACTACCGCTGCGGGATCGCGTCGTCTTGAGTTTCTCGCATTCCGTGCACTCCCGCTCGCACTTCTCCCATACCCTCCTCTCATCTTGCTTGGCCTTCCACCGCCCCTCCTCCTGCTCGTATTCGCTCGTTCCGCTTGCGGCAGGTGGACTTTCCGGTCGCGGGTGATGGCGCCGATCTTCATGCTGCTGCCCGCGGAGCAGCACGCCCTCCCGCCCATCCACCGCGTCGTGAGTGAACTCCCCCCCCTTCTCCTCGCTTCCCAGCGCCGTTGACTGCAACCCTTGCCCTGTAGTTATCGGTTTAGGTGAGATGACCCTTAGGGTCACCAGTTCACTTTCCTAGGGCCATTCGACTGCTAATTCTCCCTGACACTGCTGGCATGTCGTCTGTTCGCGTTCGTGCCAGGACATGGACGACAAGGGCTTTCAACGGCTGAGATCAAAGGACTGGACCATCGGCATCTGCACCACGAGCGTCTCCTCCGCGTCGGGCGCTGCTGGCAGCGCTGGCTTCGCGTGTAACGCGGGAGCGCCCATGGTGGTGGTGGTTCAAAACCCACAAGCCGCCTCGCCATCACTCTCCCCGGCTCTCCACCCCAACTCCATGCCGCCCTCACTCGCCCCCTCCCCCCTTCGCCCACCCGCGGGTTCTTCCCCGCTTGTTGCCACGTCATCTCCGCTCCTGCCACCACTGGTGCCGCTGTCGCTCTCCTCGCCGCTACTCTCGCCCAACTCCAGACTGCACACGGAAGGGCCGGTGCCCCTAAGCCTCCCCATGGGCCTCTCAGTACTGACACCGCCGCCTGCCTCAATACATGTACCTGTGCACGGACCTGTGCATCCGCATGTGCATATGGACGTGGGAATGCCGGTTCTGCCAAGGGTGCAGTGCCCGCTCGTGCCTCAACAACCACACGAGATGGGGGAGCAGGGAATGCAGAAGCAAGGGCAGGTGCTATAGTGGCCACCAAGGCAGCAGCAGAAGAAGCAGAAGCAGGCTCCTCAAACCGGAAGTATGGGGCATTATGGTATACGATACCACCTGATTAGTTCATTCGTTCTGCCAGGAAACAAACTAGGCACATCAGCTCACTGATAGGCACCAAACCTTAGCGGTAGACTAGACGGCTGACTTGGACAGCCAGCAAGCTGTTAGGAAAGCGAACGTAGCGTAGAGTGCATGCTGCACTACTTGTGCAGCTTAACATACAGTGAGAGGGGCACACAGTCTGCTTTGTTCAACAGCGGAGGTCTGCACTGCAACTCCTGTCCTGTCATGTGCCTAACACAACTCATAGGATTCGACCATATTGACTATCAGGCAAACATTCAGTATTGCTCAAGAGCGTGCGTGCAGCTTTGTACCTTTGGGAAAAGCATTTTGCCAGACCAAGCAATTGAGGTGCAGTACCATAGTACCACGTATTTAAAAGGCTTGTCAATGTGCATTGTTCTCAATTCAGTTGGGCATCTTTTTCAAGTTATAATACACTGGCAAGTTATGATACTACTACAGTAGACACCTATATAAAGGCTAATAAAGGTTTGATACGTGTTCTTATAGTGGCCTTAACATCAATAGTGTAATCCCCAATAATGGAGTGACGCTGTTTATCATCCTTGGCTCCACCCCCAATATTGAGAAGCTGTTAGCTTCACCCCAATAATGGAGTGACACTACTATTTATCATCTTGGGCCTCACCCCCAATAATGACGTTCCCAGTTCCGTTCATCGCCTTCGCACACATCCTAGGAATTCCCGAGGGGGCTTGTAAAATTTGCCCTGAGAATTCAGGGTTAGGTTCAGCCTAGTCGGGGTTCCCGACTCGAAGGATTGGGTTGTCACGTAAGCCACTCGGACTGGAAGCTCCAGCCAAGCTCCAACCAAACTCTTAGCATTTCGCCTTGAACTGAGCCCATGCTTGCGACAACGAGTTGCATTTCTGAAAACGTCTCAAAAGTACCACGCTGTAAGTGTTACGATAACCCAGCATTCACAAGCGCTGGGAAGGGGCCCTTGTTGCGAGGCTACAGTACGTTTCCTCCAAAAATGCAGTGTGGCGCGATCCATTGTCCCAGCGCCGATTTTGTGTTCGCCAACGTTTTCGCCGCCGCACAGCACTTGGGAAACGGCCGCTCGTAGCGACGATGGCGCCCGTACTAGGAACGCGTTCAGAGCGCGACTTTTGTCGCAGCGGTCGCACATGGCCAATGCCGTGCCGCGCCCGTCGCGGGGTGCGTCCCGCCACAGAGGTCCCGCCGCACACAGAAGCTCCGTGGAGCGGATTGATCTGCCGCACGCTAGGCTCGCTCGATGCCTATTTAAGCACCCGTGGCCGATCGCCCTCGTCACCTCTCCTGCTCTACCACTAAGCACCAACGCCTCGACCTGTCTGTGAATCAATCTGCCCTCTATTACCAGCTCTCCCCCTCCGCTGCACTCCGACTGACGCCTATCAGTGCTCCCGCTACCACCTCCGGTACCAGCTTCTGCGCGCCTCCTCTCGCCACCCGAACCAGCGCCGCCGGCGGCTGAACTCGTTGCGTGTGCTCAAGGGCGGAGAGAGCAGCAGCATGGGAACTCATGGCGATGCCGTGCGTGCCGCGCTGCTCGCCATCGCCATCGTCACCGTCATCGCCGGTACGCTCCGCGCGCCCCTCGTGTTCACGCCGTCATGACTGTTCAATGCACCAAACGACAGTGGACACCCCTGAGACATGCCCGTGCCTCCGTGCCCCTCCCATGCCACATTTGCCCCTCTCTTGCAGCGTGTCTCGTGCAGCCGTCGCACGCAGCTGGTGTGCTGATGGGGAACGTGAGGCTTGGCACGCGAATGTACATCGACGGGCGCGAATTGCTCTTCGTGTCGCCCTGTATCGACATTCCTCCCATCACGGGTGTTCTGCCCGCGGACGCACGGCCAGCAAACGATGATCGCTGGGCTGACTGCACCGCAATCCGGTTCTTCCAGGATGCAGGGTGCACGGGACCCGTGTTGTACAATTATGACATGACGACCAGGTGAGCTTTTCGTTTTCTTGCTCGCCTTGCTTCCATGCTCCTATGCTATTGACGTCGCTCGGTTGTTCCCCCACCTGACCAACAACCCGTGCACTCGTGGCGCCCTCCCCCTGTGCGCAGCACCATGAATCTCCCCATTGGCAATGCAGTGAAGTCCGCCCGCTGCGACATTGCGGGTGCGTCCTCTCTTTCCTTGCCCCGCTCGCCTCTCCACTCCGTGCAGACTCGTCCTCTCTCTCTCTCTCTCGCTCTCTCTCTCTCTCTCTCTCTCTCTCTCTCTCTCTCTCTCTCCCTCTCTCTCTCTCCCCTCCCCCCCCCTTCCCTCTCTCTCCCCCTCTCCCCCCCTCTCCCTCTCTCTCCCTCGCCACGCTCTCACCTGCACAGCCCAGTTCGCCGTGCTGAGAGCACGGGGTGTGTGGCGAGCCTCATCACTGCTTGCCCTTTCCCCTTTTCCACACTGCGCTGTGCTGCAGGCGACGTCTGCAAGTATGCGCGCTGCCCTCCCAACTCCAAGTGCGACGCATCCACTTACGACCCCAACCAATCCAAGAGCACCACCAAATCCAATCTCTCCGGCTACATAGTGGAGTGCCCGTGCAACGAAGGCTATATCGCTGCCAAGCGCCGCTGCCAGAAACTCAGTAAGCCTCTTACTCATCGCTTCTCATCGATTCGCCTAATCGTACTTCCCTCTTCCGCCCTCCCTCGCTTGTTCTCTCTCAATGCTTTCCTGCCTTGATGGACCCTCGTGCTCATCTGCCTACTCTCTCCTTGTTTGCGTTGCAGACAACACAGGATCTGGCATCCCCTCCACCGCACCTTCCAAGGAAACCCCCGCAGCACCTTCCAAGGAAACCCCCGCAGCACCTTCCAAGGAAAACCCTGCAGCACCTTCCAAGGAAACCCCCGCAGCACCTTCCAACGAAACCCCCGCGGCACCTTCCAACGAAACCCCCACGGCACCTTCTAATGAAACCCCTGCAGCAACTTCCAGCGAAACTCCCCTAGCAACTTCCAGTGAAACCCCTGCAGCAACTTCCAGCGAAACCCCATAAGCTTTTGACAACAGTTCAGAAGTTTCTAAAGACACGTCTTATAGCAGCCCCACCATATCTTCCTATCTCACTGATTGAGCCAAGCCACTAAGCGTAAATCATTAGCCATAGTTCAGAATAAAATGGGGACGTTCTGTGTAGAGATTGGTGCTGCTGTGCTGCTGTTGTCAGACAGGTTCAATGTTTAATTTCTACATAATGGATTACTCAATCGTGGCTCTCCCGTGCGAATTTGTTTAGCCTACCACCAGCTCTCGTAACAGCTAACAATACAAATACACAAACGGACTGTGTGGTATGGGGTGCTAGTGTTCGTTTAATAATACGGTAAGTGAATTTGACCTTGAAGAGGAGGGCGCAGCCCTGTGCGTTTGGGATGGGTTCGGCAGCTGCATTCCCGCTCACACTGGTTTTGGATCTCGCTCAACAAAAATTTCCTTCGCGCCACGACTCATCAGGGACACAGGGATCATCAGAGAAGAGATACCACTGTGTGCATGTTTTGCACCGCACCATACCGTTTGTACACCAAGGTGGACTTGGAATCTCACGTTCAGCTTATCAGCACAACCCTGAGGACGTCAGATGCGCAGGTGGGAGGATGATGTCATATGTCTGATAAATGGAAAATGCGTTAGGTGTGCACCACAAATCTCAACGCGCGGCTCGCCATGGCGGCCGAAAGAGTTTGGGAATGCCGCATTTCCAGGCTTCGTCTCAAGGACCAGCGAAGAAATACCGCAGACGAATAAGGCAGCCTGTTGCATAAGTGACTGACTAATCCTTCAGATATTCTTTTTTGCCGCTTGGCTTTGCTGTAGTAGTGGGGAGTGCAAAACGAGCTTCGAGTAGATTTTGCGAAATGAGCTATTAATCTAGCCCTGTGGCGTTGTTACCCCAAGCGGCCCGCTGTAAGACATGGATATCACGCTTCGATTTAGAGTTCCCGCTACTCTGCTCAGTCGAGACCTCGCTAATGCGAGTGGCAACAGCAGCAGCAGCAACAGCAGCAGCAGCAGTGACACTTCGGTCACCAGTGGCAATAGCAGCAGCTTCACCATCGATACTAGCAGCATAGGGACTGACACTATCCCTCACTCGCAAGACGAACGAACCGCGACGACGAACCAACGAACAGCAGATTCCCACGTGGATTATACCATCATCGTTGATCCTAACGAGCCTCTCCATTCAGCGTTTGACAAGCTCTTCCTGTCCCACCTGCTGCACTGCTGCCTGCCAGGACAGCAGCAGGATGGCGCGGAGAAAAGAGAAGCAGGCTGTTCGGTTCATGGCTATCGGACAAGTGGTGTACTTATCGCCTGCTGTTTCGGCCGTCAAGGCGAGGCTTAAATCGGGTACAGTGATCAAAGTACTGGCAGTGAAATCGAAGAGGTGAAGCGCGAAGGTCCCGGCAGCAGCAGCGGCAGCGACTGCGCGAGTAACGCTGCGGTTGAAGAAAAAGCAAAAGCGGATGGGGATGAGGAAAGTCCAGAGGTCTCTGATTCCACGCATCTTCCGCTGGCAGCTCCTCAAGGTGACACCACCGCCACTCCGCCTGGTAGTTCTCAAGCCGGAATCTCCTCTCCACGAGGTGCTGACTCAGACTCTGCGCGTGTCTCCGCCGCACTTATCTGCGCCTATGCGCTGGCCTCCGCTTATGCATTTACCTCCGCCTCCGCCGCGATTGCCTCCGCCTCCGCACCGGTTGCACCGTCTCATCTCCCTGCACCTGCCACAGATACCACCAGCACCAGCACACCTACCACTACCAGCACCCCGGCACAAGCTGCCTTACGTCCCTGCAACTACTGCAGCAGCAGCAACAGTAGCAACAACTCCAGTGATAAGAGCAGCAGCCGCGGCGGCAGCAGCAGTGGCAAAGGCAGAAGCCCTTCAGTGAAGCAGCCGCCCATCCCCCTGCATCACGCGGAGCACGTGCCGCTATCGCGCGCGCACATGGTGCACTACGTGGACGTGCACCTGCCGTGGTCGCACTCCCTCTGCGCCTGCTGCCTCCCCCGCATGCTCCGCCCCGCCCCGCCCGTCGCCTTCCACGTCTCCTCGCTCGCATCACTGCGCAAGAACCTAGTACAGCCCTTGCCGCCCTCCTTTCCGCCCTTCCGCTTCGGCCACAAGCCCCCGCGCTTCATCACCGCCTACTCCGCCACCGTCCCGCTCTCCGCGTCTCCTCTCCGCCCTCCAAGCACTGCTACTGCTGGCGCTGCTGCTGCCAGTGCTGCTGCCGAAGAGAGCGCAGCAGCGCCGTCGTTGGCGCAGCAGTATCGGTGGAAGGTGGACGCGGCACCTGTGGTTGCAGCAGAGGGGATGATGCTGGAATGGCTGGCAGAGCCACGTGTCGGCCTGCTACTGGACCTCCAGGCGACACGGCGCCAGCTGGCGAAACGTCTGGGGATGGATGAGCTCGCTGCTGCACGTGCTACAGCCAGCACCAGGCGTGCTGACCGCCGTGCTACAGCCGGTCGTCAAGCGCTGTGGTGGTGCTGCTGGCAGTGCTCCTCTTGCTTCTCCTCCTACCGCCGTGCCGTATCCGTTGCTGCTTTATTCGTGCTTGTTGCCAAGTTCCCCCGATTTGTCACTCTCTGGCGCGCCAATGTGCGCTCTCCCAACTCTACTCTCGTGAGTCTGGCGTTTCAGTTTGATGCGGGGCGGGAGGCTGGGGGCGACTGCTTGGCGTCGCTGCTGCTGCAGGTGCTGGGAGTGAAGGGGAAGCAGCAGCTGGAGACCGGCTTTGCTGCCCACCTGCTGCCGCTGCTGCCGGGGGGGAGGGACGCGCATGGGGAGGGGGGAGGGGGAGGAGTGAGTTGGGGGACGGAGTGGGGAAACGGGGAGGAGTGGAGGGAGGGGTTGGGATGGGTGGAGTGGGAGGAGTATGTGGAACGCGTGGGGGAGATTGCCGCCCAGGGAGGGCTGGCAAGCGAGCAGTACCGCTGCTGCTGCTCGCAGTGCTGCCAGGGCGAGGGAGCGAGTGAGAAGAATATTCGGGGCAAGAAGAAGAAAGGCTGTCGAAACAACAGCAACAACCCTAGCAGTGACACTGGCAGTATCGCTGGCAGTTGCAATGGCAGTGGCAGTGGCAGTGGCAGTGGCAGTGGCAGTGGCAGTGGCATGGTGATATCTGGAGTGGACCCCACCGAGTTCGCTCTCAAGTGCGCATTCAACTTCGCTGAACCGTGGTTTGCGAGCTGTGGTGCTAGTATGTTTAACGAGTCTGCTAATAACAGGTACAAGGAGAGGGCGGAAGATACTGCAGTGGAGGAGGCATGGAGCCGGCTGGCTGTGGGAGTGGGAAAAGAGGAGAGCAGTGGTGGGAGTCGCGGAGAGGGGAGCGGAAAGAAGGGTGGGGCGAGAGGGGGTAGGAGTGGAAAAGAGAATGTGGAGCAAGGAAAGGTTTCTGGTAAGGGAGCGACGGATAAAGGGAAGCCAGCAGAAGAAGCAGCAGCAGCAGCAGCAGCGGCGACAGCAACCTCTGCTCGCCCTGTTCTGGCTTCTAGTGCTCCAGGCGTAGTTTCTGGTGCTACAAGCACTGCCAGGCTGGTTCCTGTGAACAGTAACACGGTGGTTGGAGTGTTCACATACCGAGTCACCTCCCTGCTGCGTTGGGTGCGGATTTACGGGCCGAGGGTCAACCCTCCCAAACACTGTGGCCGTTATACTATGGAAAAGCCAAACGCAGCCCTCCCACACCCAGTCCACGACCTTCCGAACCTGCTTCTCAGGTTCGGCGCTGTGCCGAAGCCGGTCACCGGCCCAGGCTCGGAAGGTAAATCAGCAATTTTTGGGAGGAGTTCCCAGAGGGGGACAGGGAGGAGCTAGAACCATATGAGAAGGATCCCTGGGGGGATATGGGGTTCAACACCTTTAACACGGGGGATTTCCGGGATGGTACACCTGACCCGGAAGAGCACATGAAGGAGGCCAACGAGAGGTACATAGTAATGCCCCCTCCTGACGTCACCCCTCTCTGGGAAAGCCCCAGCCCTCCCTACTACACCACCCTCGCTGCCCGCGTGGAGGAGTTTCTGAGAAGGTTCGCACCGAAGAGGCTGGCAGTGGAGGGGAGCAATGGCCGTCTTGCGAGCGGCATCGCCACATGGGTGGGGCGCTTAGGCCTGGGGAAGCGCAGCTGGGCGGCACTGGCCTTAGGGCCGCTCTCAGATGCGAAGCTGCACATGCTGCTGCGCTCACAGGCAGACCTGGACGCGTTTTTGGAAATGCTGGCTGAAGAACTCTCTCCCGTGCCCGCCTGCTGTCGCTGCATGTGCTGCGCTGCTCTGTACTACGAGGCTGTTATCAAGGTGTCCCTCGCTGCAACCTTCGCCTTCCGCCCCTCCGTCATGCTGCTGCGCTGCATCCTCTCGCTCTTCCCACCCTCCTCGCCAGAGCTCAAGGGCCTCCTGGCTGCTGTGGGCGTGGCGCCCATCCCTGCAGCGGTCCCGGACTCGCTGGTGGTGGCGCTGCTGGAAGGCGTGATGGAGCAGAAGCGCGTGCGCTTCCTGTTCCATGCCATCCAGCTGCTTTACCAGAACCAGTCGTATGCCAAGCTCCTGGAGCCTATCGAGGAAGGGTCCGGGGTGAACATTTACGAGCCTCGGGGCAGGCAGGGGAAGCAGAGGGAGGAAGGGGAGGAGTGGTGGATCTGGGAGGAGGTGGACAGCTGGCGGATTGCAGCGGAGAGGGCTTGGCCGGTGCTGGGGCTCCGTAGTGTGGCAGTGCTGGAGCTAGATACTGGTGGGGCGGCTGAACGGCAGGTGAAGGTTTGTGAGCGCATGCGGCGTGTGATGGCGGAAGAGGAGGTGAAGAAGCGGAGGCAAGCTCAGGCTGGCGGTGCTGCTGGGGAGGGCGCGAGTGGGAGCAGCAGCGCTGGTAGCAGCAAGGGCATTGGGAAAGGGAAGAGTCTGGCAGGAATGGAGGGAAGAGGCGGGAGTAGGGAGGGGAAGGCGGGAAAGGCGGTGGCGTCATACTTGGAGCCGTGGCCGGGGGGGTGAATCCTCTGTCGTGTTTGAGGGAGATGCTGCTGGGGGAGACCAGCTACTGCCCCCAGGCTAAGGTGGACGCTCTTGCTGCTGCCGACGCTGCTGCTGCTGCTGCTGCTGCTGCTGCTGCTGCTGCTGCTGCTGCTGCTGCTGCTGCTGCTGCTGCTGCTGCTGCTGCTACTGCTGCTGCTGCTGCTGCTGCTGCTGCTGCTGCTGCTGCTGCTGCTGCTGCTGCTGCTGCTGCTGCTGCTGCTGCTGCTGCTGCTGCTACAGCTGAGGGACACGGCGGCAAGGGAGGGCAGCGTGGGTGTGCGTCGGCACAGTGTGGCAAGGTGGAAGGGGCGGGGGTGCAGCTGAAGCTATGCTCGCGGTGTGGGAAGGGTGCCTACTGCAGCAGGGAGTGCCAGAAGGCCCACTGGCCCTCGCACAAGCTCACATGCCAGCCCAAGGCCAAGGGGGGAGGTGAGTCATAGAGCACATTGGTTGTGGAAAATGCCATGTTTGGGTGGTGGTAGCCAACTTAGGCTCTCCCCAACATTGGCAACCTCGGTAAATGGAATGCACTGATGCGAGATTTTCCGCTTTTTGAAACCACCACCATCGTAGTAGGGCACTCGCGGTCTTGTTTGTATTTATTTTATTTTGTTTTATTCTCTTTTTCCTGCAAAAGGCTTGTGGACAGTGCCGTTGCATTGCTGTACCTTAGCTGTGTTGTTTGATCTACCATATACGCCTAGTAATATATATTTTGTCACATCATTGAACATGTTCGGTACAGTGAGGACAGAGTTTAGCCGTTCGTTGTTCCCGAGGCTCCGAAACATCTACATCGAAGCGCGGAATTTCCAAACAAGGCACGACTCGATGAAGGGATTGGGGGATACAGTACATCATCGTACCGTACACGCGCAAAGCATGTGCTGCTTGCAATTTGCTAGCAGATACAAACATGTTCCCGAGGTTTCTGGGAGGGAAGACGTGTTTTGAAACTTCTGCCAAGCTGCAACAAACGGTAGCCACGGAAAATATAGCTGCTGCATCCATGTCCCACGCGGCTACGCGCCTACAGCACCCTTATTGTGAATGTCTAGAATGGTTTTGACCCTGTGTACTCTCTCTCAACATCATGCTTCTTAATCTCTGTGAATACGTCGTACCGTTTCTGCGCTGCGTTTTAATCTTCTCTGCGTTCCACCTCGCCAGCACTACTAGTAACTTGCAATCTGTAGTCCAACCTCTGAACTCGCAAGCTCCTGTCGGCCTCAATCGCAGCACGTATGGCGCCAATAATGTCAACAATGCAATTCCCGTTACCAGTTTCAACGAGTTCGACTTCAACGGAACATTTGAGGAAGATAATTTTGGAGAGATTATGGAGGCAGATCGGCATCCCCGCGAGCTGATGGCGATCCCGCTAGGACACAGCCGCAACGCGACTGCGGACGCCAAGAAGCTGCAGATTGCCGACGCGCTTCGCTACCCCGTCTGTCCACGCGTCCGAGGTACAGCTACCGGCCGAAACGCGCAGAGAAGAGAACGAACGATCAGAAGAAAGGACCCTCCTTCCTTGGGCGAGCGACGAAAAGAAAGAACATCCGACGAGTGGTAGCAGCGTAGCTGCGTCGCTAACAATTTCGCCAACCATTACCTCCCTTGTGCTGCCTGCTGCCTTCTTCATCATGTCAAGTGTTTCCTTACGTTTCTCGGCGGTTCCTGGCAGGTCGTGTGCGGGTGAACGTGGGAATGAACACGGTGGGAACGGTGTGGAAGGGGTGGGGCACGTCGCTTGCATGGTAAGCGAAGGAAATGAAAGGACGGGGTTGCGCATGTACGCCTGCCCCAGCCTGAGTTACTGAGCAACCAGCGTGTCACTTCCATAATCCCCCTTTTATCTCTCACAGCCATTTGAAACAGTTTAATTCCCCCCGTTCGGTCGGTCCCGTTCCCGTGTCTCCAGTCGCTCGTTCTCGGTCTCTTTCTGTCACCCACAACCTGGCTCGCTTCCCCCAATGCCCCCCTTCCCCCGCATCCTCCCCCTCGGCTCCCGATCCCCCGCGGAACGAATGAAGGGCCGGGCGGTACATCGGCGGGCTGCCGGTGCGGCGGCGCGAGTACCTGCTGGACCTGCTCTTCCACGCGCGCAAGGGGCTGGGGCTCACCATTGCGCGCTACAGCATCCCCGGGGGCTACGACCGCCGCTACAGCCCGCGCCTGGCTCAGCGGGACTTGTTCCGCGGGTACAGCAGCGCGCGCGGGCGCTACAACTGGACGGGCGACTGGCGGCAGGTGGAGGCGCTCCGCGGCGCGAAGCAGCGAGGTGTGCAGGTATTCGACGCCGTGTGCGACTCGCCGCCCTGGTGGATGACTAAGTCTAACGACACGGCGGGGAACGCGGAGGGGCAGCCGAATATCAATCCCGATTACTACGACAGTTACGCGGAGTATGTCGCGCGCGTCATCTGGCATCTGCAGAACGATATGAAGATTAATTTTTACAGCGTGTCGCCTTTTAACGAGCCGCTGGAGCCGTGGTGGGTGAAAGGCGGCGTGCGCGAGGGGTGCGCGATGAGCGAGAGCGACATCGCGCAGGTGTTGGGGAAGCTTCGCCCGCGATTGGAGCAATACGGCCTGGGCGACGTTCTCGTCGCAGGCGTCGACAGCTGGCCGTCGCAGACCTTCCGTGCGATGTCGCGCGTGTTCGCGCAGAACGGCGACAAGTGGGACCAGCTAAACGTCCACGGGTACCGGTCACCGGCTAGGATGACGCCGGGGAGAGACGAGCGGCAGTTCCGCGCGATAAGAGACGCGGCGAGACGCCTAGGCAAGCCGTTGTGGCAGACGGAGTGGGGCCCGGTAAACGTGCGAGGATCGGAGATGCAAATCGCGTGTTTAATGGCGCGAACAATCATCCAGCACGTAAATTTGATGGGCGTCGAGGCGTGGTATCACTGGCTCGCGCTGCAGCAGCCGAATCCCTCGGGCTGGGGTCTCATCTGGCAGGACTTTTCGTACAGCGAAACGTTTCGCCCGGTGGTTACCAAACAGTTTTGGACGATGTTACACTTCACAAGATGGATGCCTCCAGGCAGCTTGCCGCTTCTCGTTCGAGAGGAGTGCCAGCATACAGTGCTTGCGGTGTACTCTCCCGTTATGCACACACTGGCTGTCACTGTAGTGAATCAGCAAAAACGGGCGCGAAACCTGGCCGTTAGCATTTCGGGTTACCACCTGTACGTACCACAGCAGCGAACTAGGATGCTCATTTTTCGCACGTCGAGCAGGGAAAGTTACAAGATGCACTACAGAGCTTCGTGGCCTGGCAGGAGGGTGGCTGGGGTGTTCAATGTAACAGCTGTACGCGATTCAGTGTCAACATTCGTTTGGGATAACGTGGCGGTGGGGGATGACTACATTCCAGGCGTTATACCCTCGTGGAAGATATTCTGATGTGTAGTGCTTGGAGAAGCTGGCATTGGACTCACGTGACCCATTCACCTGCGCTGACGTGGACAGTTTGGAGCCACTGAAGCCGCATGAGTCGTCGGGTACCTGGCTGTAGCAGCACGTGCTACTGTTCATGGGCAGCTGCTGTAGCAGCCCAAAGAGGGCCCATGTGCATTCCCTCCTTCCTGCAACTCCATACCCAGTGGCCTCCTCCTCCTCCTCCTCCTCCTCCTCCTCCTCCTCCTCCTCCTCCTCCTCCTCCTCCTCCTCCTCCTCCTCCTCCTCCTCCTCCTCCTCCTCCTCCTCCTCCTCCTCCTCTTCCTCCTCCTCCTCCTCCTCCTCCTCCTCCTCCTCCTCCTCCTCCTCCTCCTCCTCCTCCTCCTCCTCCTCCTCCTCCTCCTCCTCCTCCTCCTCCTCCTCCCCTTCTGCACCACCAATTCCTTTGTCACTGCTCGCAAGATGCACGTGCTGCACCACCAATGCACCAGCTACTGCTCCAAACCCAGCCCACACAGCTGACGAGAAACCTCTTCCTGAGAAAGAACGTGAGAGGGGGGCGGAAAGGGCAGCAGCCAGACGTACCTGCCTGCGGGGTGGGGGATTCGATCCTCAATGGAGGCCCGTCAATGCTATTGCTGCTGCACTGAGGCAGCTAGCACTGAATGCCTGCAGGGTGTTGGGCTCAGAGGCAGCTTGAGCAGTGAGCAGCAGCAAGCACTGAATAGTGAAGAAGGGAGATAGATGCCAGAATTGGGTTAGCTGAATGCAAGCCCTCTAGGTGAGAGGGTTGGAGCTGGAGCAGCATGGAGCTGGAGCAGCATGGCGGGAGTTAGCTTGGCATGGCGCGCCCTGAAGGCTTCGTACGGTGTTTGGGCGACAGTGGACGCTGTATGGGGCGCTGAACTGCACAGGCAGGTCCCAGAGAGAGCAGGCTATGCGATCTGCATACCATACATACATCCCTCCATGAAGGGATGAATGGTGGAATTGCTGCCATGTTGCTTGGAAGGGTGAAAAAGGGGGTGCATGAGGGGGTTAGCATCAGCCGTGCCTGCAGCAGTTCGGTTGCGGCTCACTCCAGTGAGTAACAGCCACCTTGGCGTGCCTTATCCCGATTCTGCTCGACTGAGAGAATGGGTGGGTCTACATGCAGACTCGCTAACTGCAGACTCGCTACATCCACACTCGCCACTCATGTGCAGTACGGACTCCAATAATCCTGCTGCAGTTCTCGTCGCTATAATTTTACATGTCCTGTTGATGATCCTGATGCTGCTTCTGAAGCTCCCCTGTATCACCGGGAGATGCAATCAGAGGCCTTGCGCGCACCTCCATGCATTGCGGCAATTATCTACTATGATGTGTATGGTGGTGTGTAACATGCGATGCGTGCATGTTATGAGTTGTAAAAGAGAGTGCGCAGGTAAACGAATAACGAGACTGTGACTGAATGAATCTGAGAATACAATGAATGCGAGAACTAATGTAGGCTAGCCTAGCTAGGAGGAAACCTCGGACGAGCGAGGTTGGGTGCAGGTTTGGCGATGGAAATGCCGAAGGCGACGTGAGGAGCTTCGGCAGCGTGGAAATCGCCCGAACGTGCGAACTCCGAAAATCGGGTTGTACGCGCAGTAGTCAACCCCGATAAGGAATTCGAGAAAATTCCTTACACCACCCCCCCCTTAAGAAAGGCGGTCAATATCCGAAACACGCTTGCGCGCCAAGTAATCACCAACAAGTGGCGAGGCGTCGAGCGAGGCGGATGGCACCCACGTGTCGTCCTCACTGGTGCGATCAGTCCAGCGGATTAGGAAATCCACGTGTCGGCCAGCTGCGTCAAGTCGAACTCGATGGGCGAGAATTTTCAATGGGTCGAGTGTCGGCTCTGGGACAGGTCGAGCTGTCGGGGCAGCTTGCTGACGTGCAATGTCGGTCGTGGCTGGCACGAACTTGCGAAGCAGGCTTACGTGGAAGGCGTCGTGAATGCGCCAGTCGTCTGGTAGCAACAGCTTCGCGGTGACAGGTGTCACCATCTTGATAATCTTGAACGGTCCGCAAAATCGGGGCCGTAGTTTCGATGGACCGGGCAGGTGCAGGTTCTTCGTGTCGAGGAGCACTAATTGCCCAGTAGTCAAGACGAGTTCCCGGCGTAGGAGGTCGGTGTATTTGCGGGAAGTAATATTCGCCTTGCGAATTGCGTCTGCTGCTTTCTCGCGTATATGCTGAAGTTCCGTCACAAAAGTTTGTGATCGCGGGACCGGGTTGTCGAGCGAAGTTGCCGTGGGCACCGTCGGATCCATCCCGTAATTCAAGAAGAACGGGGAGTGATTAGTCGTGCTCGATGGTGCGTTGTTGAAGGCAAACTCCAACATGGCGAGGGAATCTTCCCATCGTGCGGGGTCGGGGCAGTTTGTCCGTATCAGCTGCTCCATCGTCTGGTTGGTTCGCTCGGTTTGTCCGTCCGTCTGTGGGTGGTAGGCCGATGAGAACTGTAGCTTCGTGCCGTACTGCGCCCATGTTTCCTTCCAAAACTTGGATGTAAACTTCGGGTCCCGGTCGGTGATGATCGCCGAAGGGATGCCGTGTAGTCGCACGACCGTTGAGATGAAGAGGCGCGCAGTTTCTTCGGCTGTGATCGTCGTTCGGCATGGTGCGAAGTGCGCCATTTTCGTGAAGCGATCGACAACGACGAGGACAGCGTCGTTGCCGGACGGCCCAGCTGGCATCCCCGTGACGAAATCCATCGTCACCTGTTGCCACGGTCGTTCGGGTGGCTCGAGGGGTTGCAGCAGCCCAGCTGGTCGCTGTCGTGTCGATTTCATGGCTTGGCACACCCTGCATGAGGACACGTAACGCTGCACGTCGTTAGAGGAATCGGGCCAGTAATATTGACGGTGCAGTAATTTCTGGGTTTTATCAACCCCGAAGTGTCCGGAGTAGTTCGAATCGTGGACCTCCTGGATGAGGAGTTCACGCAGCAGCCGGTAAGCGGGGACCCAAATCCTGTCGGTGCCGGCTTTTAGGTAATAATCCCCCTTCTGCGTCGTGGCCTGCTGATGATTTCCTGTCGTGAAGAACGGGTCCGTAGTGTAGCCGTGGGTGAATAGTCCTGTAAGTAGCGGGTTCGAATGGGTGATCAGTACAGCAGCGGATTGTACGGTCGGTCTGGTCAGGGCGTCGGCGATGTTATTCGCCCTTTTCTTATACGTGATGCGGTAGGTGAAGTGGCTCTCCATGTAATCCAGCCACCGAATTTGTCGCGGGTTGAGGTTCGGTTGAGCTCGCAGGTACTGTAGGGACTTGTGGTCCGTGCGCACAGTGACGTCGGCGCCCACCAGGTAGCATCGCCATAGTTTAAACGCGTGGATTATGGCGAGCATCTCCTTGTCGTGGATCGGGTAGTTGCGTTCGGCAGCTTGCAGCTTGCGTGATTCGTAGGCGATCGGCTGCAGCCCGTTCCCGAAATCCTGGAGAAGCACTGCTCCGATGGCGAAATCAGAGGCGTCGGTTACGACTTCGAACGGCTTTGATGGGTCGGCGATGCGCAGTACAGGAGGAGAAACGAGAAAATTCTTGAGCTCCTGGAAAGCCACCTCTGCTTCCTCCCCCCACACGAAATTCTTGTCCTTGTGCAGCAGGTCGGTCAGCGGGCCGGTTATCCCCGCCATATTCGGGATAAACCGCCGGACGTAATTCACGAACCCCAAAAAACTCTGGAGCTCCGTGACATTAGTCGGGGCCTCCCACTCCTGGATGGTTTTAATATTCGCGGGGTCAATTTTAATGCCGTCGCGGGAGATGACGTGCCCTAAAAACTCCAACTCCTGCTTAAAAAACTCGCACTTAGAGCCCTTGGTGATGAGCCGGTTTTCTTGCAGCCCTTTAAAAACTGCGTCCAGGTCGCGGAGGTGTTGTTCCCGTGTCTTGCTAAAAATCAGGATATCGTCCAAATAGACGATGACACATCGGTCTAGAAGATCGCGAAAAACCCTGTTCATGGTCAGTTGGAATGTCGAAGGCGCGTTCGTGAGGCCGAAAGGCATCACTGTAAATTCGTAACTCCCGTAGCGTGTACGAAACGCGGTCTTGTGACAGTCGTCGGCGAAGACCCGAATCTGGTGGTAACCGCCACGTAAGTCGATTTTCGAGAAGTAGCGAGCGCCGCGAAGTTGATCGAGGAGGTCGTCGGTGCGTGGGATTGGGTAGCGAGACTTGATGGTCACCCTGTTCAACGCGCGATAATCGATGCACATGCGAAGCCCGCCGTCCTTCTTTGGAGTGAACAGGATCGGTGCCGCGAACGGGGAGGTGCTCGGCCGAATGAAGCCTTTCTCCAACAGTGCAACAATTTGTCGGCGTAGCTCCTCGAGTTCCGGTTGGGTCAACCGCCACTGTGTCCGAACAGTAGGTTGCGCGCCAGGTTCCAGCTGGATTTTATGGTCTTCGGGTCTTTCGGGTGGCAGCCCAGGTGGCAAATCGTCCGGGAAAATGTCGGGGTACCGTCGAATTAGCTCCGCTAAATCCGGAGGAACAGCTGCACACAGCTTTTCGATGTCCTTTCCGTCGGTGTCGACTGCCAACTCGCGCAAGCAGACGGCGAACAGCTGCGCACCCCTGTTGAAGTGGTGGGCGATGGTGATGGCTTTGACGCACGGGGCTTGTATGTAGTCAGGTGTCCATGCAGGCAACTTAATTAGCCCCTCGTGCTTGCTGACGCAGCACGATCCCGTTGTCCAGTCGATGACGGGGTTGTGTCGTCGCAGCCAATCGCGTCCCAGCAGCACGTCGCAGCCATCCAGCGTCGTCGCGAGGAACTTCATGCTGAAGCCGAAATCTTCGCCGCACTCGATCCGCACCATCCGTGTTTCTTCCGTTATCGCCAGAGGCGTCCCATCCACGAGTCGTGCGTCGATTTCGGGCAGACACCTGTCAAGTTGCATGTTGCATTTTTTTGCGCTCGCCAAGTTGAAGAGGCTATGGCTGGCCCCTCCATCGACGAACATTTTCAAATGATGTTTCCCCACCTTGCCAGCGACCAGCACAGGGTGATCCACATGATTATCCCCGTTATTCGGCCGAGTGCGATCGATTGCATGAATCGGAACCACGACTCGGTGGGGATGGTGGTGTTCGGGCGACGGAGCACAGTCAGTAAAGGGCCCGCTAATTACTGACTTTTCCCATTTCCCTGCTCCTTCCTGTCGTTCTCTGTCAGCGGCATTTTCTCCTTGCATTCGTTCTTCCAGTGACCCACCTTCCCACACCGGAAACACTGACCCTTAGGAGGGCGGTCGGGTGTATGGACGGCGTTGATTGTGGCCCGATGGGTCTGGCCACGAAAACCTCTCCCATCCCTGGAAGCCGTTCTCGCGTACTGCATCAGCGCATCCGTTGACTCTGCCACGCGTACTGCTTCGAGGAACGATGTCGGGCGGCTGCGGCGAACTTCGAACTGTATCTCGTACTTAAGGCCGCTCACGTATTTATCCAACCGCTCAGCTTCCGACATGTCATCGATTTGGTCGGCGAAGCCCATAAATGACGCCGTGTAGTCTTGGACAGATCCCATCTGCGACCATGCACGCAGCTTCATGCGAGCTTGCTCCGAGGCGGATATGTGCTCGAAGCGATCCCGTAAGGCTGCGCCCCACTCCTTCCATGTGCGTATCTTGGTCACACCGAAGATCGGTTCTGCAACTTGATTAACCACTGTAGAGGTCCCGTCTGCCGCATGTGTCACACCTGTCGACGTCCCTGTTTCCAAGGTCCGGCGCCACCATTCAAGTGCTGCACCTCGAAGAAGTGAGACTGCGTAATTAATGCGCGTGGCATCGTCATTAACTCCGGCTGCAGTGAAGAAGACTTCAACCTCGAACAGCCACCCATTTACTGTAGTCGTCTTGTCCGTAGGATTGAACGGGGGCGGGTTGACGGGCTTGATCTTGATCGTCGTAACTGCAACTGGCGCTGCCGCCGCTCGCTGCCTATCTTCTTCTTCGAAGTCGCGTGTGAGCTCGTCCAGAGGATTGCCCATCACTTGACTGTTGCCCTCGCCTTCGTCCACAGGCGACGTCTGACGCGCTTCACCTCGCGTCCGGCGTAGCTCGGCGTTTTCCTCCTTCAGTGTTGTCACTTCCGCTTGCAGCGATTCCATGCCCCTCGCCATTTCTGCCACTTGCGCCATCAGTCGGTTAACAGCCTCCTGATCCATGTTTCTAGCACTACGTCTGGTGGGCAGTTGGGTACCCGTGGCCGCCCGGCAAGTGAAAACACGAACTATCGGAGTCGGGCAGGGTTGAGTTAACAACCTCTGCAGCCAACCGTCGTGTAGTCACTAAACCAACCACACCCTATGCCACCAAACTACCCTTGAAAAGCGGGGTGAACTAGGAAAGTAGCTCTGATACCAAGTGTTATGAGTTGTAAAAGAGAGTGCGCAGGTAAACGAATAACGAGACTGTGACTGAATGAATCTGAGAATACAATGAATGCGAGAACTAATGTAGGCTAGCCTAGCTAGGAGGAAACCTCGGACGAGCGAGGTTGGGTGCAGGTTTGGCGATGGAAATGCCGAAGGCGACGTGAGGAGCTTCGGCAGCGTGGAAATCGCCCGAACGTGCGAACTCCGAAAATCGGGTTGTACGCGCAGTAGTCAACCCCGATAAGGAATTCGAGAAAATTCCTTACAGTGCAAGGAGAGGTGATTGGTTGGGCAGCATTCCTGCAAGCAAACGTTAGGTGTTGTTGAACGGCACGGGGAATGCATTGAAAGGGCAGAGGTCGAAAGACGGCCACCACATTGGGGTTGATAAGGAGCAACGGATACAGTGCCAGTGCCAGTAATGTGTATTTTTAAATATATACATCCTTCTGATATTCGAATACCCTGGCAGACACACAAACGCACGTGCAGACTGATGATCATAAGCTTCTTAACACTGAACTGGTAACGTATCGTTGAAGTGTACACCTGCGACAACCACGGGTACCATACACCATGTTGTGTTATTTCATGGTTCGTTTATTAATACAGATATTACAAAACAATCAGAGCAATTTTACTCTTGCGATCCAAATACCACCGCACCAACCCTCCATAAACTGCACCACGTCTCCTTCCACTGCTGCACTGCACCTACACTTCCAGGGAATACCAGCAGGCTGCAAAGTCTTGTTCCGAATGGGGCTGTGGGCTGGATGGCTCAAAGTCTTCCATTCCCACTCTCTGCAGGTGCATGGCGATTCCCACAGTGAGAAAGAGAGGAAGAGTCGACGAGAGGGCCACATACTTGGCAGACCCATGACCCGAGACCTGTCTTCTTTCTCACACATGCGCATCAAGGCGCCCCTGCAGCACTCCCTCCTCCCCAGCCACTCCAACCTTCTCCGTTACAGCCCTTATCCCCCGCATGGTGTTTTCCCTTTCAGGCATGCTCAATGCCCACTACATGGTACAGTACGCATACCGTATGTATGCAGGCCCCCTGCTCCCCTCCTCTCTCACATGGTGGGTCTCCTCATCTCCCCTACGTTACTCTCGCTCTTCCCACTGCCTTTCCTGCTTAGCCTGCCTCCTCTCCCCTCCTCAGCAGTGCACCCCACCACACCCACCTCTCTCACTGACGGCCCACCCCCTCCTTTCCATCCTCCTCCTTCCCCTGCTTCCAATCCTTGCCACTAGCACTCCTCACTATCCCCCTCGCTCCACCCCTCATTCCCGCACCAACCGACACGCTCCGAGCGAGTGCCCCTTCCCCTGATGCCACCAGCCCTATCCTCCTCCCCCCCACCCCTCCTCCCCCTCCTCCTCCTGCTGCTGCTGCTGCTGCTGCTGCTGCTGCTGCTGCTGCTGCTGCTGCTGCTGCTGCTGCTGCTGCTGCTGCTGCTGCTGCTGCTGCTGCTGCTGCTGCTGCTGCTGCTGCTGCTGCTGCTGCTGCTGCTGCTGCTGCTGCTGCTGCTGTTGATGCTCTTGCTGCATCCCTCCCCCGCACCCTCGCCCGTCCCCACAAGCGCAGTACTGGATGAACCCCCACCAGCTTTCAACCGCCCTCCCACGACCACACTCCGGCTGCTTCCCAGCAGTCCCAATCCCACACCCGGAACCAGCCTCCCTCCAATCCCTCCCGTGCCCCCTCCTCCTCCCCCTCCGCCCCCTCCCCCTCCTGCACTCCCTGGTCTCAACCCTCCCCGGCTCCCAAACCCCATGCAACTACCACTCCCACCAGCCCTCCCCACTCCTCCGCCCACCCAACCCCCACTACTCCCCCCTCCCGCGCCCCTCCCTCCCACCCCTTCCCCCGCCTCTCTCTCCTCCCTGCCCCCTCCCCCACCTCCCCCAATCGGCTGATCAAGCGTGAACCCAGCCATATCATGCAGGTCTAGAACAGGCAGCAGGGAAGCGAGCACGTGGGACATGAGCGGGCGGAGCTTGGGCTTGGCGCTGAGACACTGCCGCGCCACGGCTGCTGTCAGCTGCGCGCCGCGCACGCTGTACATCCCCGCTAGAGCGGGGTCCATTATGCGGTACAGCTTGCAGGGCGACGAGAGGAAGGGTGCTGCCCAGTCCACTAGAGACTGCTCGGGCTTGGGCCTGCGCGTGGGGTGGGTGCGGCACGAACGTGGGCGGGGGAGAAGAGGATGGGAGCGAGGGGGCAGGGCAGGTGAGAGCACGGCAATGGAGTGGAAAGGTGTAGAGAGATGACTGGAGGTACAAGGAAGTGGTAGGGAGTGGAAGGTTTTTTTTTTTGGCATGACTAGAAGGAGTGGAGTGGCAAGAGTGGCTGACGCAGGAAGGAAGAACGCGACATAGCGAGTATGACAAAGGTATATGATACACAGGCATTTGCGAACGTGCACATCATACGGTCAGGCAAACAGTCAGGCAAACAGTTAGGCAGGCAGGCGTCAACCCCCTGTCCATTCCTCTCACCGGGTCTTATCCAGTGCAGGGCGGCCTGTGAGCAGCTCCAGCAGCACGACCCCGAAGCCCCACACGTCGCTGCGGATGGACAGATGGCCTGTTAGCACGTACTCCGGTGCTGCGTACCCCACCGTGCCCACCACCTGATGAGGACGTTGCGGGAGGGAGAGAACACAGGAAGGGAAGATATGAGCAAGAAGGAAGCATGGAAACAGAAGGAGGGGTTCAGAAGGGGAGAGGGCGCCTATTGAGGCGCCTCAGAAGGGGAGAGGGCGCCTATTGAGGCGCCTCAGAAGGGGAGAGGGCGCCTATTGAGGCGCCTCAGAAGGGGAGAGGGTGCTGTGTATATGGTGAAGGAAAGCGGCTGGGTAAGCAAGGGAGGCAAAGCAGACACCAGCAAATCAACAGGGCACAGCAACAGCAGCAGAAGCGAGTGCCCACCACCACCACCATCAAAGCAGCAGCTGCACTGCAGCACCGACCCAGAGACCCAGATACCCAGAGGTGCAGAAGCGAGAGCTCACCCTGGTGGTGACGTGTGAGAGCTCCCCCTGTGGTCCCAGGCGAGCAAGGCCAAAGTCAGAGAGCTGCGCGTCGCCGTTTCGGTCCAGCAGGATGTTGGACGTCTTGAAGTCACGGTAGATGATCTGCAATGAGGGTACGGGGGGCAGGAGGTTGGGGCGGTAGGCATTTGAATAAAAATGCGTACAGGTATGCAGCAGGCATGGCACGGCACGTCATGGCGGTCCAGCAGGATGTTGGACGTCTTCAAGTCACGGTAGATGATCTGCACAGCAACACGGGGGAGGACAAGAGAGGGGCGTGAGGAGGGGCAGGGGGTCCGGAGGGGGACACGGGGTTGTGGGGGAAGGCGGTAAGCAAAATGAAAGACCTCTCAGGTTACGGCTGCAACAGGTACCCAGCAGTGCCCTGCACCCCTCCATCCCTGCACGCCCTGGCATGCCCCGCCATGCTCCTGGGCTCACCGGCTTGTCAATCTCTCCTCTCTCCCCCATCGCCTCACCGGTTTGTCAATCTCTTCGTGCAGGAAGACCAACCCCTTAGCGGCAGCAATGGCGATGCGGATGCGGTGCAGCCACTGCAGCGGCCGCTGCTCCTCCCCTCCTATTGCTACGCCCCTGCTGCTGCTGCTGCTGCTGCCGCCGCTGCTGCTGCTGGGTCGCCTGCCGCTGCCGCTGCTGCCAGGACGCTTCATACCCTTAATTTCTGCGCCTCCCCCGCCTCCGCCTCCTCCCCCTCCCCCTCCCCCACCAGATGATGCCCTGGGTACGCCTCCTGGTAACCCTGCGCCCAGGGGGAGGGAGAGCCCCGCGGGGAGAGTGGGCGGGGGCGCGGAGGACGGGGGGAGGAAGAGCGCGGGGAAGAGGCGGCGCTCCAGGGAGCCTCCGGGGAGGAAGGGGTAGACGAGCAGGCGCTGCTCCCCCTCCGCGCACACCCCCAGTAGGGGGACGAGGCACGGGTTATGCAGGCGCGCTAACACCTGCACTTCCGCCTGCCACTCCCTGTCGCCCTGCTGCCCCGCCGTGTTGAGAACCTTCACGGCAACTTCCACCTTGCGTCCGCTGCGCCCGTCCCACATGGTCCCCTTAAACACGCTCCCAAACCCGCCCGAGCCCAGCAGCCCTTCCAGCGCGAACTGACACGTGGCGCCGTGTAACTGGGCGAGGGAGAAGGAGTTGAGCCGCCCGGAGCCCGCCAGCTGGCGGTCCAGGACTGGCAGGTTGCGGTACGAGCTGGCGGGAACGAGAACGTGGTCCAATGAGAGGTCCGCTGCGGGGCTTGGGTCGCCCGCGGTTCCCGCCGCCGCCGCCGCTGGCGCCGTCGTTCCGGCCGCTGGCGCTGCTGCCGCTGCGGTTTGGCGGCGGTTTCCGTCCGCCGTGTTGCCGCCCATGCCGCCGCCGCCGCCACCGCCGCCGCCGCCGCCGCCGCTGTTGGGTCGGGGGAAAGCTACAGACCCCGGCGCACCACCAGCACCGATCTGCACGCCTGGAAATCGCCCCGACCCCATCCGCGCCAGTCCTCCACTGCGGAACGAGCGGCTGGGGGAGGGCGAGCGCAGGGGGGAAGCGGGGCGTGCGGGGGACGGCGCGGGGAGCGGGACAGGGACTCCGCCAAAAGGCGGGACCGGGAGAGCGGCGAGCGCGCGCGCGGAGGCGGCGGGATTGGCGGAAACGATAGGGCCGGAGAGGGAGGAGGAGGAGGAGAGGGAGGTGGATGAAAAGGAGGAGGCGGAGGAGGAAGTACTTTTGGATAACGTTAGCGTGGGAGAGAGTGTCGGGCTGACGAGCGCGTCGGGGCTCCGCTGATCATGCTGCTGCTGCGCGTGCTCCCCCGCATCCTGCTCCGCGCCATCCGCGCGCCTCTCCTTCAACGAGCCCCCCGCGCTCGCCGCCCGCGAGTCGTCCGGCAAGTAACCGGCGCCACCGCCACCAGCGGCAGTAGCAGCGGCACAGCCAGCGGCAAAAACTCCGCGATGGCGAGTACTGTCCGGCAACACGCACTTGCTGCCACCACCGGCGGATCTTCCGTTGCTGCCGCCCAGCGCGCACGTCGCACCGCCCTCGTCGGTTTTCGCGTCGCTGTCGCCGATGCTGCCGGCGCTGCTGCTGCGACAGACCTTGCCCGGGCCGGCCGCAGCGACTCTGGACGGCGCTCGGCGCGGCGATGCGCGGAAGCAGTCGAAGCAGCCCATTAGGTGGTGGCGATGGCGATGGCGATGGCGATGGTGACGGCGACGGCGATGGTGGCGGCGCTGATGTGCAAATTTTAGGTTGGGCTGGTTGTGACAGGGGAGTGGCTGACCGAATCCGAGTCCGGGCAGAGAGAGAAAGTGCGTGCGGCAGGAGATAACCGAAGTCGAGTCTAGGCCGAATCTAATCTCCGGGGCACCAGTTGGTCTGACTATACTACGACAACTACTGGCTCTCGCTGGATATGTCCAAGGCGATTCCTTCGCCGTCGACGCGGTCCGCGGCTGCGCAAGCAAGGAGCGTGCGCGGCGTGCGGCGTGCAGGACCTAAGATCACAAGGCCACCGGTCGGGGCGGGACAGTATTAGTACTACTAGCCGTGGCAAGCACGGGAAGCGCGACTGGCAGTAGCGGTCACTGGTGGTCCACGTTACGCTTGGGACACTCAACGCATGATGTTCTGAGCTCTCGTGCTACTAAATCTCTTCGTTCTCTCTCAGATTATCCTTCACAGTTTTGAAAACAACTTCGGCGATCTAAACAGCTGCTGCTGACAGCACGGAAATACAGCAGTCTCAGTTGCTCCTACTAAGGTAGTACGGTGAGCGTCTAGTCCCGCAACGACGCTTTGGAGGGCGTTGCATGCAGCACGAGAGGTGCTTTCGTCGCTGCTGCTATTTGCTGCTGATCGACGGGCTGTTGGGCGCTTCGAATGTAAGAACCTCTTACAGAGGTTGGAGCGGCGGCGGTGGTGGCGAGGAGAGGGGGCGGGGGACACGAGAGAAGGGTGCTACTCGGCGCTACAGTATAACCACCAGAGCTGCTTGGAGTTGGTACTAGAAGCGGCAGGCAAAATATTACTAACAGCGAATGATCCCCTCTCACTAGAGGAGCGGTCGTGGGGGATAACCAGGGGATAGGGAGAGGAGAAGCGCACGGTCTTGCGCGACTCGAATGGTCGCGGGGAACCCGCACTCCTCATGCGGGCCCGGATTCCGGAGCCGTGCAACTGCTAATGGCTACATCGTCGCGCGGCCTATCAGCTGGCCCAAGCCTCGGCAGACAACGCGCGGGCCCTTTCCTTTGCGGCGGTACGGCCAGTCGCGTCGAGGCAAGAGAGCGTCCGCTCGTCAAGCCTTGAACCCTCTGGTCGGTGCAGTGCTTGTTATCACACCAGCACCAACAGCACTACTAGCAGTGCCGTGTTTCAACTGTACAAACGTGACTAGTAGAAACGATACCTTGTGCTCAACTCAGCTGAGAGTACGCGCGGATTTGCGGCGTTCGGCAGAAATTTTGAAAGGTCTGACGGCATGTCGTGTGGAGGGGAATGACGAGCGCTTGGCAGTGCCTTATCTGCTATCAACTTGGAGCAGGCGTTTCATTCGAAGCGGAAAATCCGAGCCGGTGCATCTATGGGATCTGCGGTTGCTTGCTTCAGTAGGGCTTTGGCGAGAAGAAACGATTGATGTGCACTTGCAGAGGTCAAATACAAGCAGCGCGGAGAATGATTTGCGTGCGCATCTGGCCTGAGCGCGACGTGACAGGAATATCCAACGACGAGCCCAATGGGGCATAATGCAAATTGGAGAAGTCACCTCGCAGCGAGGTTGAGGGCTAACAGCGTTCACGTGGTCGCTAGTTTAGGGTGAGGTTTCCGTTTTAGCAGCCATGGTGACAAGATGGGCGCGTGTGTGTTGGAGGTTCCAAATTCCGAAGCGAAAACACATCTCGGCTGAAGCATCGAATCGAGTGACAGCAGCATGATCAAATTCCCAAGCAAATTGATGAGGGGACCGACAGCTGCCAAAGCGGTTATCGTTGACGGAGCCGCGAATGCCCCAAACCGCGCATTCGATGGGCGGTTGATGGCATCGAACATTGCGCCCTGTCCGTGGTGGTGACACCAAGCCAGTCAACGCTACACGGTAAACACGTTATGCATTTGTTAGGCACAGCCATCGTAAAAATGGCAAACTCTATTTCATGGCAAACTCTATTTCACGGAAGATTGAGAGATCATGCATTGGCTGAACTTCAAATGTTTTGCTGATTTGATTTGTAGTAATTTATTTTTCATCTGCGCCAATTTTTTTCTACCTCCAATATCAAATAATTATTTTATACATAACTCATATAAAACATATAATTCACATAGATTTAAGGCCATTTTATTCATATTCTGGAAACGTTTACACCATTAGAGTAACTGATAATGCTGAAATAGATATATCATACAATATAGGTGAAAGTATATTCTTGATGAGCTGATTTTGGGAAGGTTCTATCGTTCTATTTTAGGCAATATTTCAAAATCATGCACCAATAAAAAAACTCCACCACTTTCAAGTAAAAAAATATCAGAAAAAAACAAGACAATGAGTACCATTGCTTGAAGATTCTGTATTTGTTGCGTGATACTTCATCTTTTTATATCCCACTTTGGTAGCAGATGACAAATTGCGCTATTTATGCAACTGTCACCAGTGCGTCACCTCATTGGGACTCCCGATTTGAGATTCTAACGCGCAAATATATTGTTAAGCGTTTTGTGTAATACGCTTGGGGGGTGGCGGTGTCTACCAATGCTGAGGTGTCGTGATATGGAGTCCAATCCATGTGGCTGTTGGACTTCCCGCTCGGGCCAGCGTTCAAGCCTTCCGCTAACATGACTAGGAGCAACCCCATGCTATAATAGTTTCGATTAGCGTGGCTGTACTGTCAGATCATTTACATGCGGTCTAAAATAGCAATGTCTATAGCCAAATTTGTGAAACTATTATGCACATCATACGGTCAATGTATGCCCTCCATTTCGCTGGCACAAAATGCATATAAAATGCATAAAGGATTGCTCACAGATTTTTCCACGGAGAGCATCATCGTGGCAGTGTGCCAGAAAGCCCCTCCTCTTCAAGTAGTCTCACTAACCCAGCATTTGCCAAAATGATTCGCGTTTGCACGTTCGGCCGTATTCTCGACGCTCGCAACAATCTCAACACTCGTCGAGCCCCCTCCTCCACTCGCCGCTCATACCCATCCTCCTCCACCCCAACATCCTCCGTCACAACAACACCTTCACTGCCACCACAGGAATCACCCCCATCATCTCCATCTTCCTTAGAGTCTTCCTCTTGCACCACCTCACTCCCCTTATCCGCTCCTCCCTCCACCCCGCGCCTTCCATGCCCCGCCTCTCCCACTCCCTTCCCCACTTGCCCCCGCCTGGCTCCACGCAACACAGCCCTTAGAACCAGATTGTACATCCCAGCATCCATTGCATACATGCCCCTGCCCACCTCACTCACCACTCTTTCCACCCTCTCCATCTCCCCTGCCTCTGCCAACCTCTCCACCACCGCAAGAAACACCCCCACCCTCACCTGCAACCTCCGCCGCCTCCTCTCACCTTTCCGCCCACCCATCACCCGCGCACCACGCACCCACCCGCCACTCCCCACCCCACTCTGCACACCCACACCGCCCCCTGCCCCCATGCCCCACTCGCTCCCGCAGTCCTTCCCTAGAGCATCCACCACAGGGTTGGGAGCATCAACTCGGGGGCTTGCACTTCCTCTCGTCCAGGACCATGGGTGCCCCGCTGCTGCCGCTGCTGCTGCCTGCAGCAGCAGACTCACAGCCCCGTCTGTATCCTCGTTATAGAGTGCGCCCGTTATGAGGTGGTGGTAGGTGGTGGCGTCGGGGAGCATGTGCGAGGAGCGCATGGTGGTGAGGAGGGAGAGTGCGTCGTGCATGTGGTGGGAGCGGGTGTATGCGAGGAGTAGGCAGTTGTAGGCTGCGGTTGTAGGTGCGTGGCCTGCTTGCTGCATCGCTGTGAAGGCCTGTGGTGGAGAGGGGTTGGGATGGGATGGGATGGGATGGGATGGGATGGGATGGGATGGGATGGGATGGGATGGGATGGGATGGGATGGGATGGGATGGGATGGGATGAGATGGGATGGGATGGGATGGGATGGGATGGGATGGGATGGGATGGGATGGAGGCATGGCAAGCGGGCCTTGGTGTGGTTTGTGCTACACACTGTTGGTGTGAGTTGGTGTGATAAGGTGGAAGAAAGAGCATAGAGGAAGGTGGAATGGACGAATGAAGAAAGGCGAGTCAGGAAGAATAACAAGTGCAGGGAAGTGGCAGGTCTGCTGAAAGAATGACCTTGGCCAAAAGCTCAGAATTTTAAATCTAGGGGTTTACATAGTGAACGTGGTACAAAGGTGGAAGTGAAATTTGTGAAGATGCAAAAAACGGGAGATAATGGATGGAACCTTCTCGGCGTCTTCCACTTGGCCAGCAATCGCATTGCCGTAGATTCTAGCCATGTGCAGTATCCTGCACATGGGACAGGGATCCACAGATGGAGAGGTGCAGAGGGGTGAAAGTGGGGAAGAGCGGGGTGGCGAGAGGTGAAGAGCAACAGGAAAGGAACAAATCATTCTCAGGGTAGGAACAACAGGAAACATGGACGGAGATGCCAAACACAAGACTTACCGAGGCACAGGCTGGCACCAGCACATCAACATCAACTCCTTCCTCACCCAACCACCCCATAATCCCCCTCCGCCCATCCTCACCCATCCCCACCATCCTCCCTCCCCCACCCCCCCTCCAATCTCCCCCCATGTCTCTTAGACTCGCACCTGAGCTCACGTGCCCTGACTCCTTGCACCTCCCCCACCACCTCTTCCACCCGCCGCACATCCCCTATCCACGCATACGCCCACGCCAGCCCCACTAGCACCGCCACCGGCAACCCCTCCCCCTTCTCCCCCTGCAGCTTCCGCATCTGCCCCACCACCCCCTCCGCCTCCCCCACTCGCCCCCTGGAGAAGAACGCCCAGGCAGCCGCGGTGAGCGTGGGGAGGGAGGGGGGGAGGGGCGAGTGGGAGAGGCAGCGCAGGAGGGAGCGGATGGATGGGAGGTGGCGGCGCCGCGCGTAGGCCTGCATGAGATGCTCGTAGGCCGTTGGGGATGGGGGGATGCCCTGGGGGGACAGGGAAAATTTGTGGGGAGAGAGTGGGTGTTGGTCATGGTGGTGATGGTGGTGATGGTGGTGATGGTGGTGATGGTGATGGTGATGGTGCCATCTCCCGTGCAATGCGCTCCACGTCCCCCACCATGCATTCCTCGCACGCCATACGCCAGAAATGCGCGCTTCAAATCAAACCCCAGCGCGCTCTCCCGCACGCCAAGAATCACCACCCCAAGCACGCCTCCACGAGCCACACCAGCCCCCGCCAACCCTTTCTCTTACCTCCCAACCGTCCTTCCCCACACCCTGGCCCCCCACTTCCACCCCCCTCTCTCCCCCCCTCCACCGCACCTTTCTTGCCATCTCGCGTGCAACGCGCTCCACATCTCCCAGCAAGCCCCGCACGCCGGATGCCAGCATGCGCGCCTCAAACCCCAGCGCGCTCTCCCGCACGCCCAGCGCCCGCAGCATCACCATGCGCGACTCCACCCGCCGCACCAATCCCTGCCGCGCGTAGTTGTGGAGAATGCCCATGTATACCTGGAAGAGGAGGAGGGGGGGAGAAGGGAACGGTGGGGAGAAGGGGACGGGGGGGAGAAGGGGACGGTGGGGAGAAGGGGACGGGGGGAGAAGGGGACGGGGGGAGAAGGGGACGGGGGGAAGAAGGGGACGGGGGGGAGAAGGGGACGGGGGGGAGAAGAGGAGGGAGGGGAGAAGGGGACGGGGGGGAGAAGAAGACGGGGGGAGAAGAGGAGGGAGGGGAGAAGGGGACGGGGGGGGGGGGGGAGGGGGAAGGGAAAGGGGAGGGGATAAGAGTGGGACGGGAGCAGTTTCATCGAGGTGATTCCAACAGTCCATACCTAATGCGCGTAGTTGTGCAGAATACGCATGTACACCTAGGAGAGAAGGGGGAGCGGCAGAAAGATCGATGGGGTTGAGGCATCTCAGAAGTCGTCTCAACAGCTCTATTGAAGCAACTTCTGGCGAAATTCTCACAAGGGACCAGGTCCTGCTGGGCGGAGAGAGGGAACGACACAAGGCGGTCGAGCCGGGGACAAGGCAAGCGTGAGTGTACAGAGTGAACAGGAACTGAGCAGAGGGTGTTCGAATCGAGCAGAGGGAAGCCATAGATTGTGTGGAGAGGGGTTCCATTTACAATGAACTTTGATCGACATGGCAAGACTGGGGTTTTTCTAGACACCAGACACGCCCACCAAGTACCTCCTCTGTTTGCAGGTGCCTGGGCAGCAGCGCGAACATTTCTTCTGCCCGGGTGATGCGGCCTGCCCGCACGCACACATCCAGCAGCAGCCTCCAGTCGTCCTTGCCCAGCCAGTAGTGCGGGCTGCGCACCACATGCTCTGCCACCTGCGGAGAGAGAGGGGGATGCGGGGATTGGGTGTCGGAGGGAGGTGGCAAGGGAGTTGTTTCTTTATCCACATCACCACACCTTGCCTTGCCCAGCCGGTCGTGCGGGCTGCGCACGACTTGCTCTGCTACCTTTAGGTGTAAGGCCGATGGGGCGAACGGCGGATGAATGGAGGATGGGGAAATGGGTGCTGGGGGAGGTGGCCAGGAGGAGTTTCTGAGTGAGCACCATACCTTGCCCAGCCAGCAGTGCGGCCCTGCACCAAGTGCTCTGACACGTGCGGGGATCAGGAGTCATGGGGAGGTGTCAGAGGGGGGTGACAAGGGATATGCTTTTGAGTCAACAACAACAGCACGCCTTGCTTTCCCCTGCCAGTAGTCCAGGCCAGACACTGCACGCTCTGCCACCTGAGTTGGATCGGTCGGATGGGGGGATACGTGTTGGAGGGAGTGGCAAGGGAATAGGTTTTGGGCGATGCGGACACCACACCTTGCCCAGCCATGAGCAAGAAGATTGGTTTTGAGAAGTCTCAATCCAACCCTCCTTCACGTGGGGATGAGTTTTGGGGGGAGGTGGCAAGGGAGTTGGTTATGAACAGTGCAGACACCACACCTTGCCCAGCCAGTAGTGTGGGCTGCGCACCACGTGCACTGCCACCTTGGGGGGGAAGGGGAGGTGGGGAGATAGGGAGGTAATGCGCGCGCGTGCGGATGTGTGTGTGTGTGTGTATGTGCGTGTGCACACAAAGCATACGTGCAACGAAGGGCAACAGAATGGGGAAGGGGAGAGGGAGACGAGGGGAGGGGGGAACGGGGGCTGCTTGTGAACCTGGCCCTTCCCACCCTCCAGCAACCCTCCAGGATTCCTCAGTATCCCACAGCACCCCGAGGGGTCGCACCTCAAACGCATGCACAAGCCGAAGCCGCTCCTTGAGCCGGGCAATCAGTGCGAGCAGGAGCTCCTTAGGCAGTGGCCGGCCATGCCCGTCTGCATGGTGGGCGGCATGGTGGTGGGCATGGTGGGCGGCATGGTGGGCGGCATGGTGGTGGGCATGCCAGGAGAGCATGGTAGGCAGCACACGCGCACTGCCCTCAGGTACATGCTGCACCACTGACCATAGACTCTCCAGAGCCTCTGGTGTTTGGAAAGCACACCGTGGGGAGGGGCAGGGATGGGGAGCGGGGAGAGGAGGGGGATTATGCGGGCAAGGGTGATCTGGCAAGGACATTAGGGCATGGCGGCTGGGGTTCGTTCATGCGCGACAATGGTGTGATGCGACGATTGGGAGGGACGGAGGTCAACGGCGAGTCGATGATGAAGCTGAAAACAAATGACTAGATGATGAGTAGATGGTGCTGGGAACACCCGTGAGCACACTTGTGCCCCCATCACACCATCATGACTTCTCGCATCCTCCCTCCCTTCTCTCCCTCCTTCTCGCCCTCCCCTCCCCTCCCTCCTTCACCTCCCTCCCTCCCTCCCTCCCATCCCTCCCTTCCCTACTCACCTGCATGGTACCCTGCACTCTTCTCCTCCTCGTCCGCAGCATCACCTTCCGTCTCCTTAAACTCCCCCTGCCCCTCCTTCTCCTCGCCTTCCCCGTCTAAACCCTTCCGAATACCACTGACACCTCCCATTCCTCCCATCTCTCCCATTCTCCATGTGCACCCTCCGTCCCCTCTGCTCCCTTCCGTTATCACCTCTCCCTCCCTTCTCTCCGCCTCCCCATCCCTCCTCGCCACTACACTCTCCCCCATCACCGCACTACAGCCATGAAACCGCCTTGCCATCATCCACACTCTCGTCAAATCCCCTCCTCCTCCCACCTCTCCTCCCTCCCCCCCTCCACCTCCTCCTCTTGCTGCCACTGCACCTCTCCCCACGCACCTCTTCATTTCCTTCCCCCATCCTCTCCCCCAAACCCCCCGTCTCCCTCCTACTCCTCCCGTGCTCGTCCCACACCCCCCCCACTCCACTCCACTCCCTGCCAACGATAAACTGACACGTGGCAGCTCCTCATTGCAGGCAGCAGGAAAGGAGAAGCGGCGGTGATGACAATGAGGGGGAGGCGGAGGGCAGGGCGGGGAGGCATGTGTGTGTGGGCATGGGGGGTCGCTTGGAGGAGGTTTCTCAGAACACAGGGGCACGTGTGACAGTGGGAGTGGTGTCAGGGTGGGGGCTGCAGGGAGTGTTTGTACGGCTCGTGATGGTGTTGATGGTGGTTGTAGCGAAGGTGATAACCGGAGGGATTCGCGGGAAGCAAGAATGTGGAGAATTTTGTGGGTGTGCGTGAGGGTGTGGGTGTGGATGTGTTGGTGGTTGTGGGTGTGGGGCGGGGGCGGGGCGAGTTGCGGAAGGAGCGGGAGGGAAGGGCAGAGGGCAGCTGCGTCAAGCGTGTGCCCGCGAGGCGAGGGGGGGAGCGCGCTGCAGAAGCGCGGAAGAGGGGGACGGGAGGGGAATGGAAGAAAGAATTGAACACAGGGATCGTGAATATGGGCTGTGGTGAACAGGGGGAAGACGATCCTCGTACCCTCTGCACGCTCATCCCACATGCTCACACTCCTCCCGCGCTTCCTGCGGCCCTATCGCTGCTTCTCCCCCGGCTACCTACGGTGAACTCGATCGCGCGCAAAACCCCTTCCGCTTCCCCCCTACCTGGGCAAACGATCCACGGCCTGGCGGTAGCGGCGGGCGGAGTGGCGCAGCGCGGCGGCGAGGAGCATGGCGGCGCGGCTCGAAGCTCGCGCATGGGCGCCGTCGCGGCGCGCGGACGCGTCTCAGCGGTTTCGCTAATTCCACCAATAATAACCCACCGTCACAAATCTGATCACTCGTGCCAGCAAATTTCCTCTGATCTTGTGAAATCGGGCAAGTTTGGCAACCATAAACCAGTTCCTTGCTGACAAATTCGCCACCTGAGCATTCGCGACAAAATGTTCTTGTACCTTGTGTGATAGCACCATTCTGAACGCGGTGAAGTTCTACAACTGGCTGAGCTTCCACAACCAGATGTTCTGCTAGCGCGAAAGAGGGTGTATTGTTTTGACTTCGCCAATCCGAACCTCCCAAGCCCAGGTACTCTGTTTCGAAAAGGCGCGCCTCAGCTTAGTTAGAGGGTTGTACAGTTGTTCCTGTCTTGTTTCAAGCTTATATGCGGTAAATGTTTTTGACAAACCAAGTGATGACATGGTTAATTCTTGATATTGATGATGTGTCATGCATTTTCCAAATTCGATTACTTAAGCATGTAATGAACAGCGAAATAAGATTGTTCTCTCTCAACCGCAACAAAGTGAAGCACACAATATCGAGGCGGAATGCGAACAGGCTGAATGAAGCGAAGAATCGCGTACGGTTACAAGAGCATCTGGACCGTCGGGGCAGACAGCATGGGGCAGCTGCAGGAACGAGGGAATTGGCGGGAACAGTTTCGAAATTGTTCGAGCCACACCGTTTGGGTGTGAATTTGAATAAGGAAATGTATCCCTTCGAGTACATGGCTAGCTATGATAATTTGTACTCCTTTGTACTACCAGGGTTATGCTTGTATTCGCATGTTTTAATCATCTCGATCATTTCACATTTATTCTGATTCGAGGTCAAGGGCCCACCAATTATTTGAGCGAACCTCCCTGGGGTGATCCTGGTTACGATAAATGTCTGATCGCGGCATGGTATGAGGGCGACCCAGGAAACCATCGCAAGAACCACCCCGAAATCATCGGCGAATGAAAGTGGCGTCCGGCAAACGCTCACTCGTAAGAATGGCCGGTGAATCTGGAGGTCATACGAATCTGACCGCTGAAGCGAAACCCAACACGGTTGCTACAAATAAGGTGATGACAACGATTGGAACCACGGTCCTCGAACAACTGCTTCAGCGACTCACGAACTTGGAGCAAGGCCTCCAGAAATTGCGGAATGGCGACGCGGGAAGATCTTCCCAGCCCTCTCAACCGGCCTCGAATGGCCACAATATTGCCTCGCATATGTTCTCTGTCGACACAAATGGCTCAACCCCCAAGTCTCCCCGTCCCTGCAAAGAAGCAATTCTCTCTACGCAATCAAGGTTCCTGAATATATAAAAAACAAACACAATTGCGTGCTATGACGGCAGAGATTTCTATACCTGGAGCTTCGAGCTGGAGCTACTGCTGTTGAACGCACATATATTCAACTATTTTGACAGGGGTTACGCGTGACCTGCCGAATACACCGCGGTCGCCAGGGCAAGATACTACAACAAGGCCCTGATGGCGTCCGGGGTCTTAAAGCACACCATGTCGCCAGCGGACCAGTTGAGCATTCGCTCGTACAAGACAACGCCCGCTCTAGCCCTCGAAGCCTGGCGGCATCTGAACGGCGTATACCAACCGAAAGACTCAGTTTAATCAAGCAGCTTGCTCCAGCAGCGACTGGAGACAAAAACGGTTGTCGGAGCTCACTCGATCAATTCGCGTAACTAGGGAGCACCATTTTGGAAGAAATCTTCGTGAACATCGTGCTCCAAGGGCTTGGCTCGAGAGAAAACAGAGAACGAAAGTGGGAGGGAGGGACACACCAATGCACGTGGCCCTCAACTTGGACATAACAAGAACGAAACCCCACTCTCTGAACTAACATGCATGCTTCCTCTCATGCCTTTCACACACCTCCTCTGTTGGTCACACCTCTATGCTCTGGTGGGCGAGAGGGCAGAGCAGTGAGGGAAGGCTGTGACTCACAGGTATGAGAGGGCGGTGGCTTTGCCGAGTGCAGTGGGGATCCCCCCAGTTAGCTCTGTGGCGTGCAGATCGCTGTCGTGTGTGGGGAGGACGGATGGGGAGTTGAGTGCGCTTGCGTGAGACCAAGGGTATGAGGGGATAATACAAAAGCGATTGAGCGGCGGGCATATGAGGGAGGAATGAAATGAACAGCTGCGCTATCTTAAAAGTTCTCAAAAGGGGATTCCAGTATACAAGGAGAAGTTAAGTGGAGAGGAATGGGGGTGTACAGATATTGCAAGGCAGGCAGGTAGGCAAGAAAGTCCAAGCTGCCGGTCAAAGGGCTGAAGGAGAGATCGCTGCAGGGCGGTGGGGTGCAGAGGGTTGGAGGGAGATGAGGAGAAGGCTTATCAGAAAGAGAACCATCGGTCACACAATGAAGGAGAGAGAGGAAGGGAGTGGGAGGCGAGTATGGATGGTGACGGGACATGAGGGTGCGAGTTGTGGAAAACGAGAGGAACCGCCGAGCCAAGGCACAAGAGAAAACAGAGAACGCAAGTGGGAGGGAGGGACACACCAGTGCACGTGGCCCTCAACTTGGACATAACAAGAACGAAAACCCACGTTCTTAACTAACATGCATGTTTCCTCTCATGCCTTTCACACACCTCCCCTGTTGTTCACACCTGTACGCTCCGGTGGGTGAGAGGGCAGAGCAGGGAGGGAAGGCCATGACTCACAGGTATGAGAGGGCGGTGGCTTTACCGAGGGCAGTGGGGATCTCCCCAGTCAGCTCAGTGGCGTGCAGATTGCTGCCGTGTGTGGGGAGGACAGATGGGGAGTTGAGTGCGTGACACCAAGGGTATGAGGGGATAATACAAAAGCGATTGAGCGGCGGGCGGGCATATGAGGGAGGAATGAAATGAATTGCCGCGCAATCTTGAAAGTTCTCAAAAGGGGATCCTGTACACAAGGAGAAGTGAAGTGGAGAGGAACGGGGGCGTACACGTATTGCAAGGCTGGCAGGCAGTCAAGAAAGTCCAGGCTGACGGTCAAAGGGCTGAAGGCGAGATCGCTGCAGGGCGGTGAGGTGCAGAGGGTTGGAGGGAGATGAGGAGAAGGCTTATCAGAAAGAGAACCATCGGCCACACGATGAAGGAGAGAGAGGAAGGGAGTGGGAGGCGAGTATGGATGGCGAGTTGTGGAAAACGAGAGGGGCACTGCTTACAGTTCCTGGAGAGCGTTGAGGTTGCGAAATGCATCCATTACTTGAAGGTGTACCCACACTGGCGCGACCCCACGGCGAAACTCACCGTGGAACAAGAGGAATAATTGGCTCACCGCGAAGTAGAGGATCTTCGTCAACAAAACATCGCTGAGGCGTGCGGCACATTTGTATGCGGCGGATGGGGCGCAGAATAACAAGTAAGCGCCTCCAATAAAGGGGGGTGAGGAGGCGCTGGCGGGTGGAAAACCAGCGACGCTGGCGGAAGGGGCAATGCCAGCGGCACCTGGGCCAACGCTAGTGGCGGCTGGTGTGCCTCTTCTGGCATCGAAGTCAGAGGATGGGGCACTTCCAGCGAAAATTGGGATACTTTCTGTGAAGAACGAAGGGCGAGGGAAGAAGCAGAGACAGAGCCTCCTGTTGTGCCCCTTTGTTGTCCCCCGCGCTGTTCTTCACCTACGTCACCCCCATCTGACATCCAGCCGCACCGCGACCCCTGGGACATCATCGACTGGGGCAACGAACCGTCAACTTCGCGTCGAACCGTCTACGGACCTGCTGTCGTGTCAACGGGAGTTGGGTGTTGGCCCCGTCTGTTAAACTGTATTATGCTTGTAGGCTGTAGTGGGGTAGCCAATATGGGGTACAACCCCAACTAGGGTTTCATATTTGTACCCAAACTTCTGTTAGTTCATTCATTCTTGCCTAGTTATTCTGAGATGGTATTCAGAGCAGGAGGTCCCTAGGACCTACCGACCGTTTTTTTTTTAAGGGCCCACCACCGCTCGCATGCGGTTACCACGCTACCCCGTGCCCTAGCCTCGTAGCGCCCTCGTGCGCCCTCGTTAGCGCCCTCGCGCGCCCCTCGTTAGCGCCCTCGCGCGCACCCTCGTTAGCGCCCTCGCGCGCCCCTTCGTTAGCGCCCTCGCGCGCCCCTTGCTAGCGCCCTCGCGCGCCCCTCACTAGCGCCCTCGCGCGCCCCTCGCCGAGCCGCCCGCTCGCAGCCCGCCCGCCCGCTCGCTGCCCGCTTCGCGGCCCGCCCGCTACGCAGCCCGCCCGCCCGCTCGCTGCCCGCTTCGCGGCCCGCCCGCTTCGCAGCCCGCTCGCTCGCTGCCCGCTTCGCGGCCCGCCCGCTTCGCAGCCCGCTCGCCCGCTCGCTGCCCGCTTCGCGGCCCGCCCGCCCGCTCGCTGCCCGCTTCGCGGCCCGCCCGCTTCGCAGCCCGCTCGCTCGCTGCCCGCTTCGCGGCCCGCCCACTTCGCAGCCCGCCCGCCCGCTCGCTGCCCGCTTCGCGGCCCGCCCGCCTCGCAGCCCGCTCGCCCCGCTGCCCGCTTCGCGGCCCGCCCACTTCGCAGCCCGCCCGCCCGCTAGCTGCCCGCTTCGCGGCCCGCCCGCTTCGCAGCCCGCTCGCCCCGCTGCCCGCTTCGCAGCCCGCCCGCCCGCCCGCTGCCCGCTTCGCGGCCCGCCCGCCTCGCAGCCCGCTCGCCCCGCTGCCCGCTTCGCAGCCCGCCCACTTCGCAGCCCGCCCGCCCGCTAGCTGCCCGCTTCGCGGCCCGCCCGCTTCGCTGCCCGCTCGCAGCGCCGCCTCACTGCCCGCTTGCTGCGTCGCCCGCCCACACCGCTGCCCGCTTCGCAGCTCGCCCGCCGCGCTTCTCACCTGCTGCTCCCTGCCTGTGCACTGCCGCTTTCTCCTGCTGTGGCTACTAGCTTCGCTCTAGCGCGTCCCCTCTGCTGCTGCCGCTGCTCTGCTGTGCCCTCACGCCTGAGCTATGGCCTCTATTCGCGTTCTTTCCTTCGATGCTGAGGGCCGTCCCGTGCAGTTCACTTCCTGGCTCGACGACCTGCAGTTGTATCTTATGAGCAATAGCACGGACCACATCTCCCTCTATGACTACGCGTCTGGTGCTGCCGCTGCTCCTGCTGCCACAGCCGAGCTTAGTGTTCGTTCCCACTGGCAGACTCGTGACGCAGCTGCTCGCCTAGCCATTCGCAGTCACCTCCCGCTAGCTGAGCTCGAGCATTTTGGCGACTGCAAATCCGCTAAGGCCCTGTACGATGCTGTCGTTGCTCGCTACTCCTCGCCTGCCACAGCCGAGCTTAGCCGCCTCATGCTGCCGTACCTGTTCCCCGATCTGTCCACCTTTACTACAGTCGCCGATCTTATCACCCACCTTCGCACTAGTGATGCTCGCCTGCGTGCCGCCCTTCCCACCGAGTTCTGCGCTAAGAACCCCCCTCCACTGTACTGGACACTCCACTTCATAGTCACCCGTCTCCCTGACACCCTCCGCTCAGTTCGAGACCACTTCCTTGCTCGCTGTCCCACTGAGCTCACAGTCGCCCTCCTAGAGGAGCAGCTGCTCGCGGCCGAAAAGAGCATTGTAGCTGTCGGTGCTGCTCGTGGCGCTCCTCGCACCCCCATCTTTGAGGGGTGTTCTCCCTCTCCCCTCGCTCCCTCCTACGCTGCTGCTGCTGCTGTTGACTTCCTTGGTGCTGAGTCTGTTGGCGCTGCTTCTACTCCTGGTGGGAGGCGCCGCACCGGCAAGGGCAAGGGGGGCAAAAGTGGTGGTGGTGGCGCTGGGGGGGGAGGAGGTGGGGGAGGTGGGGGGGGAGGCGGTGCTGGAGGGAGCGGTGGCGGGAGCGCTGGTGGGAGTGGGGTCGGTGGTGGAGGCGGGGGCGGCGGAGGAAGCAGTGGCAGTAGTGGCGGCGGCGGCGGGCGGGCGGCGGTGGCGGTGGCGGTGGCGGTGGTGGCGGTGGTGGCGGTGGCGGTCGGAGCGGTGGTAGTGGTGGCGGCGGAGGTCGGAGTGGAGGCACTGGCTCGGGCCAGAGCTCCCAGCAGCAGCAGCGTCCCCAGACGACCCAGCAGCTTCGTGAGTGGCTTGCTCAGCGTGGGACGTCGGGGGCCAGTGGCCGCTGTTCTTATGTCATTCGCACAGGTGACCGCAAGGGACAGACGTGTGGGAGGTTCCACACCCCGTACCGCTGCTTCTCCCGCCTTGACGACGCTTGGCGTGAGGAGATGGGTGCGGATGTTGAGCGCCCCCGCTGGGCTGAGCTCATGAGGGCTGGTGTTGATGTCTTTGCTCTTGACTATGATGCTATTATTGCTGCCATGTATGCATTGACTGTTAGTGCCGAGGGAGACTGTTACTTGTGTGTGCCGCCTGACCCAGGTATAGAGCCCGCTGCCCTGGGTACTAGTGAGTCTGCTCTCTCTGGTATGGTGCCCCCTGTACTTGCTCCCCCCAGTGCTGTCCCGGCTGGTTTCGAGTCTGCTCTCTCAGGTACAGCACCCACAGAGACTGCTCTCTCAGGTACTGCACCGGCTGAGGCCTGTCACACCTTCACCCTTGACTCAGGTGCTTCCCGTTGCTTCTTCCGTGACAGTACTGAGCTCACACCGCTTCCTGCACCGGTCCCAGTCTCCTTGGCTGACCCCTCTGGGGGCCCAGTCCTTGCCCAGTCCACCACTGTCCTCCCTTGTCCGGCGGTTCCGTCTGGCTCGTTGTCGGGTTTCCACCTCCCCTCGTTCTCGACGAACCTGGTGAGCAACGCTGTCCTCCAGGATCAGTGGGTTGACACCTTTACCCCTGGCGGACAGCGTGTGGCGATCTGCACGTGCTCCAGGACCGGCCGTCACCTGGCTACGTTTACCCGTCGGCCGGGGTCGAGTCTCTACACACTGACCACTGCGTCTCCTCAGGTAGCTGCTGTCGGTCAGGTGTCTGCGTCAGGTCTGGTAGCCCACGCCTGTGAGTGTCGTTCCCTGTCGCACCAGACTCTTCTCTGGCACCACCGCCTGGGTCACCCCTCCTTGCCACGCCTTCGTGGCATGCACCGTCGCCACCTTGTGTCCGGTCTTCCCAGGTCCCTCCCTCCCCTCCCTGCCTCGCCTGCGCCGCCTTGCCTTCCTTGCGTCGAGGGGCGGCAGCGCGCCGCTCCTCACTCCTCCTCGTTCCCCCCGACAGAGGCTCCTCTGCAGACCCTCCACCTGGACGTGTGGGGCCCAGCCCGCGTTCGTGGTCAGGGCGGTGAGCGGTACTTTTTGCTGGTTGTCGACGACTACTCGCGTTACACCACGGTCTTCCCCTTGCGCACCAAGGGTGAGGTCCCTGCTGTTCTGATCCCTTGGATCCGCACGGTTCGTCTCCAGCTCCGCCGCCGTTTCCGGACGGATCTTCCTGTCCTGCGTCTGCACTCTGACAGAGGTGGTGAGTTTTCCTCCGATCTCTTGAGGACCTTCTGTCAGGCGGAGGGCATCGAGCAGACCTTCACGCTTCCGGACTCCCCACAGCAGAATGGGGTTGCTGAGCGCCGCATTGGCCTGGTCATGGAGGTCGCTCGTACCTCCTTGGTCCACGCGGCGGCTCCCCATTTTCTGTGGCCGTTTGCTGTCCGGTACGCCGCGCATCAGCTCAACCTCTGGCCCCGTGTCTCCTTACCGGAGACCTCGCCCACACTGCGTTGGACGGGGGAGGTTGGCGATGCGTCGCGCTTCCGGGTGTGGGGTGCTCGTGCCCTTGTCCGCGATACGTCTGCGGACAAGCTCTCCTCCCGCACGCTTCCCTGTGTCTTCCTTGGCTTTGTCCCTGACGCGCCTGGCTGGCAGTTTTACCACCCCACCTCGCGCCGGGTCTTCGCCTCTCAGGATGTCACCTTTGACGAGTCGGTCCCTTTTTACCGTCTCTTCCCCTACCGCACTGCCCCCCTCCCTCCCCCGCCGCTTTTCCTTGCTCCTGGTCCCCCTCCGGTAGACCCCCTTCCCCCTCAGGGTCCTGCTCCTTCAGGTGTCTCTCAGGTAGACCCTCCTCCCGTCGCTGAGCCTGTCGAGGTCACAGGTGACTCAGGTGCTGCTGCGGGTGGTGCTGCTGGGAGTGCTGAGCCTGGGGGTGCTGAGCCTGGGGTGCTGGGCCTGGGGTGCTGGGGCTGCAGTGTTAAACTGTATTATGCTAGGCTGTAGGCTGTAGTGGGGTAGCCAATATGGGGTACAACCCCAACTAGGGTTTCATATTTGTACCCAAACTTCTGCTAGTTCAATCATTCTTGCCTAGTAATTCTGACATGGTATTCAGAGCAGGAGGTCCCTAGGACCTACCGACCGTTTTTTTTTTAAGGGCCCACCACCGCTCGCATGCGGTTACCACGCTACCCCGTGCCCTAGCCTCGTAGCGCCCTCGTGCGCCCACGTTAGCGCCCTCGCGCGCCCTCGTTAGCGCCCTCGCGCGCACCCTCGTTAGCGCCCTCGCGCGCCCCTTCGTTAGCGCCCTCGCGCGCCCCTTCGTTAGCGCCCTCGCGCGCCCCTTGCTAGCGCCCTCGCGCGCCCCTCACTAGCGCCCTCGCGCGCCCCTCGCCGAGCCGCCCGCTCGCAGCCCGCCCGCCCGCTCGCTGCCCGCTTCGCGGCCCGCTCACTACGCAGCCCGCCCGCCCGCTCGCTGCCCGCTTCGCGGCCCGCCCTTTCGCAGCCCGCCCGCCCGCTCGCTGCCCGCTTCGCGGCCCGCCCGCTCGCAGCCCGCTCGTCCCGCTGCCCGCTTCGCGGCCCGCCCACTTCGCAGCCCGCCCGCCCGCTAGCTGCCCACTTCGCGGCCCGCCCGCATCGCAGCCCGCTCGCCCCGCTGCCCCGCTTCGCAGCCCGCCGCCCGCCCGCTGCCCGCTTCGCGGCCCCGCCCGCCCCTCGCAGCGTCGCCCGCCCGCCGTGCTGCCCGCTTGCAGCGCCGCCTGCCCGCCGCGCTGCCCGCTTCCCGGCCCGTCCGCCGCGCTGCCCACTCGCAGCGTCGCCCTCCCGTCGCGCTGACCGCTTGCAGCGCCGCCTGCCCGTAGCGCCAGCCTCGCCCGCTGCTCTCTATCCGTGCACAGTCGCCTTCCCCTGCTGCGGCAGCTTTGCGTGCTGTCGTTCGATGCTGAGGGCCATCCCGTGCTGTCGTTCGATGCTGAGGGCCGCCCTGTTCACCGCTTGGCTAGATGACCTGCAGCTGTTCCTCCTGAGCGATAGCAAGGAGCATGTGTCGCTCTATGATTACGCGTCTGGTGCTGCACCTGCCCCTCCTGCCACAGCAGAGCTTAGTGTTCGTTCCCACTGGCAGACTCGTGACGCAGCTGCTCGCCTAGCCATTCGCAGTCACCTGCCGTTAGCTGAGCTAGAGCATTTTGGCGACTGCAAATCCGCTAAGGCCCTGTACGACGCTGTCGTCGCTCGCTACTCCTCGCCTGCCACAGCCGAGCTTAGCCGCCTCATGCTGCCGTACCTGTTCCCCGATCTGTCCACCTTTACTACAGTCGCCGATCTTATCACCCACCTTCGCACTAGTGATGCTCGCCTGCGTGCCGCCCTTCCCACCGAGTTCTGCGCTAAGAACCCCCCTCCACTGTACTGGACACTCCACTTTATAGTCACTCGTCTCCCTGACACCCTCCGCTCAGTTCGAGACCACTTCCTTGCTCGCTGTCCCACTGAGCTCACAGTCGCCCTCCTAGAGGAGCACCTGCTCGCGGCCGAAAAGAGCATTGTAGCTGTCGGTGCTGCTCGTGGCGCTCCTCGCACCCCCATCTTTGAGGGGTGTTCTCCCTCTCCCCTCGCTCCCTCCTACGCTGCTGCTGCTGCTGTTGACTTCCTTGGTGCTGAGTCTGTTGGCGCTGCTTCTGCTCCTGGTGGGAGGCGCCGCACCGGCAAGGGCAAGGGGGGCAAGGGTGGTGGTGGTGGCGCTGGGGGGGGAGGAGGTGGGGGAGGTGGGGGGGGAGGCGGTGCTGGAGGGAGCGGTGGCGGGAGCGCTGGTGGGAGTGGGGTCGGTGGTGGAGACGGGGGCGGCGGAGGGAGCAGTGGCAGTAGTGGCGGCGGCGGCAGTGGCGGCGGTGGCGGTGGTGGCGGTGGTGGCGGTGCCGGTCGGAGCGGTGGTAGTGGTGGCGGCGGAGGTCGGAGTGGAGGCACTGGCTCGGGCCAGAGCTCCCAGCAGCAGCAGCGTCCCCAGACGACCCAGCAGCTTCGTGAGTGGCTTGCTCAGCGTGGGACGTCGGGGGCCAGTGGCCGCTGTTCTTATGTCATTCGCACAGGTGACCGCAAGGGACAGACGTGTGGGAGGTTCCACACCCCGTACCGCTGCTTCTCCCGCCTTGACGACGCTTGGCGTGAGGAGATGGGTGCGGATGTTGAGCGCCCCCGCTGGGCTGAGCTCATGAGGGCTGGTGTTGATGTCTTTGCTCTTGACTATGATGCTATTATTGCTGCCATGTATGCATTGACTGTTAGTGCCGAGGGAGACTGTTACTTGTGTGTGCCGCCTGACCCAGGTATAGAGCCCGCTGCCCTGGGTACTAGTGAGTCTGCTCTCTCTGGTATGGTACCCCCTGTACTTGCTCCCCCCAGTGCTGTCCCGGCTGGTTTCGAGTCTGCTCTCTCAGGTACAGCACCCACACAGACTCCTCTCTCAGGTACCGCACCGGCTGAGGCCTGTCACACCTTCACCCTTGACTCAGGTGCTTCCCGTTGCTTCTTTCGTGACAGTACTGAGCTCACACCGCTTCCTGCACCGGTCCCAGTCTCCTTGGCTGACCCCTCTGGGGGCCCAGTCCTTGCCCAGTCCACCACTGTCCTCCCTTGTCCGGCGGTTCCGTCTGGCTCGTTGTCGGGTTTCCACCTCCCCTCGTTCTCGACGAACCTGGTGAGCAACGCTGTCCTCCAGGATCAGTGGGTTGACACCTTTACCCCTGGCGGACAGCGTGTGGCGATCTGCACGTGCTCCAGGACTGGCCGTCACCTGGCTACGTTCACCCGTCGGCCGGGGTCGAGTCTCTACACACTGACCACTGCGTCTCCCCAGGTAGCTGCTGTCGGTCAGGTGTCTGCGTCAGGTCTGGTGGCCCACGCCTGTGAGTGTCGTTCCCTGTCGCACCAGACTCTTCTCTGGCACCACCGCCTGGGTCACCCCTCCTTGCCACGCCTTCGTGGCATGCACCGTCGCCTCCTTGTGTCCGGTCTTCCCAGGTCCCTCCCTCCCCTCCCTGCCTCGCCTGCGCCGCCTTGCCTTCCTTGCGTCGAGGGGCGGCAGCGCGCCGCTCCTCACTCCTCCTCGTTCCCCCCGACAGAGGCTCCTCTGGAGACCCTCCACCTGGACGTGTGGGGCCCAGCCCGCGTTCGTGGTCAGGGCGGTGAGCGGTACTTTCTGCTGGTTGTCGACGACTACTCGCGTTACACCACGGTCTTCCCCTTGCGCACCAAGGGTGAGGTCCCTGCTGTTCTGATCCCTTGGATCCGCACGGTTCGTCTCCAGCTCCGCCGCCGTTTCCGGACGGATCTTCCTGTCCTGCGTCTGCACTCTGACAGAGGTGGTGAGTTTTCCTCCGATCTCCTGAGGACCTTCTGTCAGGCAGAGGGCATCGAGCAGACCTTCACGCTTCCGGACTCCCCACAGCAGAATGGGGTTGCTGAGCGCCGCATTGGCCTGGTCATGGAGATCGCTCGTACCTCCTTGGTCCACGCGGCGGCTCCCCATTTTCTGTGGCCGTTTGCTGTCCGGTACGCCGCGCATCAGCTCAACCTCTGGCCCCGTGTCTCCTTGCCGGAGACCTCGCCCACACTGCGTTGGACGGGGGAGGTTGGCGATGCGTCGCGCTTCCGGGTGTGGGGTGCTCGTGCCCTTGTCCGCGATACGTCCGCGGACAAGCTCTCCTCCCGCACGCTTCCCTGTGTCTTCCTTGGCTTTGTCCCTGACGCGCCTGGCTGGCAGTTTTACCACCCCACCTCGCGCCGGGTCTTCGCCTCTCAGGATGTCACCTTTGACGAGTCGGTCCCTTTTTACCGTCTCTTCCCCTACCGCACTGCCCCCCTCCCTCCCCCGCCGCTTTTCCTTGCTCCTGGTCCCCCTCCGGTAGACCCCCTTCCCCCTCAGGGTCCTGCTCCTTCAGGTGTCTCTCAGGTAGACCCTCCTCCCGTCGCTGAGCCTGTCGAGGTCACAGGTGACTCAGGTGCTGCTGCGGGTGGTGCTGCTGGGAGTGCTGAGCCTGGGGGTGCTGGGCCTGGGGGTGCTGGGGCTGCAGGTGCTGGGACTGAGGGTGCTGGAGCTGAGGGTACTGTGCCTGAGAGTTTGCCGCCTGGGGGTGCTGCGACTGGGGGTGCTGAGCCTGCGGGTACTGAGCCTGCGGGTACTGAGCCTGGGGGTGCTGCTACTGAGCCTACGGAGCCTCGGGTTACTGCGTCTGGGGGTGCTCCGGTTCGGGGTGCTGAGCAGTCTCTCACACCGCAGCAGCTTCGCGACTGGTACGTCCGCCGCTTTCGCCGTCCTAGTGGCTCGGCTGGAGTTTGGGGTGCTGGAGCTGCTCGTCCTGGGGGTGCTCGTACTGGGGGTACTGGAGCTGCCGGGACTGGCTGTTCTGGGAGCACTGTGACTGGAGCTGCTGGAGCTGGGGACTCTGGCGCTGGCGGTGCTAGCGGAGTTGGAGCTGCCGACTCTGGGGGTGGCGCTGCTGCTGGTGCTGCGGACCCACCTGGTGGAGCTGCTGCTGGTGCTGAGGAGTCGGACGGTGGAGCTGCTGCTGGAGCTGGGGACCCGGCCGGTGGAGCTGCCACTGGTGCTGAGGACCCGGCCGCTGGAGTCCCGTCTGCTTCTGGAGATGCTGCGCGGCCGCGACCGTACTTCGTACCGCTCCTTCAGCAGGTTCTTGGGCAGGCTCCTCCTCCTTGTCCTCCTCCCTCCGTAGAGTGTCCTCCGCCTGTCCAGCCGCAGTCACAGTTACCGCCTGCCTCGCCTCTCCCTGCTCCCTCTCCTTATACTGGTCCCACAGGAGGTCTTACAGAGCGTCGTGAGCCTGAGTCTCGTCCTGCGTCGCCTGTTCGTCCTGCTCGCACTGGTAGTCGTGTCCGTCGTGAGCGTCCTCCTCCTGTCCCAGGCACTCACTACATGACTCTGCGTCCCTCTACTGCTCCTCGGCGTGTCCCTCTACCGTCTCCT